GGAAGGAAGGAAGGAAGGAAGGAAGGAAGGAAGGAAGGAAGGAAGGAAGGAAGGAAGGAAGGAAGGACAAAGGAAAGGATCATCATGAACAGGGAAAGGAAAGGAAAGGAAAGGAAAGGAAAGGAAAGGAAAGGAAAGGAAAGGAAAGGAAAGGAAAATCATGAACTGATGTTTCTGGACAGCTTACTTGGGGTATTGGATCATCACAGTAAATCCATTCACTTGACCCAGGTTTGATTGGAGGTGGTTCAATAGTACTAAAAGGCAACATATCTTCAGGGGAAGATGACATAGATTTTGCCTGTCCTTTTGCTCGTGGAGTTCCTTAAATACAAAGAAAAGTAAAATGACTTTTTTTTTTCAGGGAGAAGATGAGAAGAAATGACCTAAGAACAGTAGAAAGCAGTATATTTAGATTGTCTTATGCCATAGAAAGATTGACGTCTTGCTCTCATGGCAATCAGTTTGTAACATTGCCACAAGCTGCTATCACCATTATAAATGTGCTTTTTTTGGACCAGCATTTGGGGTCTTTGATTTTGATCATAGTGTCATATATGCACATTTGTTTATGTAAGTATGCATTTATATTTGTGTCTGTATACGAAAAGATGCTCTAAAGTTTCTTGGGAAGGAAAGAAAATGAGATTAGACCACCCTCTACTATCTATACAGAACAGAGGTCTCCAAACTTGGCAACTTTAAGACTTTTGTGGACTTCAACTCCCAGAATTCCTCAGCCAACTTTGCTGACTGGAGAATTCTGGGAGTGGAAGTCCACAAGTCTTAAAGTGGGGGGGACACAGAAGTTTGCACTAAACTTTCTCCAAGGGCTTTTTCTTGCCCTATTCCAGACTCAGACTTCATTTTTTTCAAGATTTATGTTTTTCTGAACAGTGAATCTTTGAACAGTTGCAACAAATGAAAAGGTAGGATGTTTTAGACATTAGCCACCCTGTGACTGAACCACAATATATGATTAATATGCAGTAGAGTGGGAACTAGTTATTTATGTTCCTATCTGGATTTCTCATCCATCACATGCTGGTAACCAATTTTACTACTCCCCCATTAGTTCTTGCACTGGAAGGGATTTTCTGGAGATTCTTTGGACTCCTTATATAACTTCTTTGCTCGGGCTTACTAAGGTATCACACCACTTGTTCCCAAGAACATTTTTTTCAATCTTGGATTGAATTTCTGGTCATTTCCTTTGTGCATAATTACACTTGAGATTCTGATACAAAATAATCTGGTTATTGAGCTACTGTATCTAGTCCTCAAGATGTCAGTGCCAACATAACTGTTCAATTTGTGTCAAAAATAATCTGTCATTTATTCCTTCAATTAATATATTCCTAAATCCAAATGTTTGCATTTATATGACATAGAGTGACAACAGATTTTAAATAAATGTGCTACCCTTTTTGTTTATAGCTTTGGGACATCATCGTGAATACGAGAAGGGGGAACTGACTTAACTACAAGTAAGCTGGAAATACAAACGCTGCCAACTTAATTTTATTCAGTACTAGGTCTGTACCTGTGGCTTCACTACGAAACTATGTGATCGGGCTTAGTTTTTGGGGAGAAAAATAAGGGGGGAAAATTGTGCCTCTGCCTACCAGCATCCATCAGTATTCATCTGGCTAGCATCCTGTCAGTGTGTGAGAGTTGAGGGCTGTTTGGAAACTGAAACATGGAAACTGAAACAGTATTTGCTGTGTGAGCAAGAAGACAGCAATGAGCCTGGGCATGGCTTAGCTCAACTGTTTTGTACTAAAGCTGGTTGCTGCTATGAAACTAAAACGGAAACTCATCTTTTCTGCTTGTGTTTTGCATTTAGAACAGATTTCTTTTTCAGATGGAGAAGGGGAGTAGAACTCCTTAGCATCAGAGCGTGTTAACTATAATATACGAAACACTAATGCTCTGATGGTCATTTTGAAAAAAATCTTTCTTAGTGAGCACCTGGAAGCCAAGAGGAACATATGTGCCAAATTTCAAGTTTGTAGGCTTTACGGTTCTGGAGATTTTGTGATAATGCCTGAGTGGTGTTTCGCTTTTATATATATAGATTGATTTTTCATCTGATTTGTTGACCATGTAAATATACATTTTAACTCCAGAAGCCTCTACTATAACATATTAACTCTCATTTCAGATTTAAAATATCTACCAGGAAATTCAACCAGCAAATAGAATGCAGTTCTTTACAAACATGTCTGCCAAAGCTACAATTTATTCCATTATCAGCCTGAACTGTTTTCACGCCATATGAAGTTTTCCTGCTAACCATAAATACAGTACAGGTCAATTTTTGTACATTTTGGCTAGGATGAATTAAGTGCATCCAAAGCTCAGTTTTATTTTATTCTATATAAATTGGGATCTCTATTTGAGCGACTATTTTCCAAACCAACATACAATACTTTTACCTACATCCTCACAAAATACAGTGATTCTTATACAGGATTAAGAACCTTTTATAAAAAGTATCGTCTTCTCTTTGTCAACTCTATTTTGATCAATCAGTCAACCAAAATATAATCAAAATATGCCACAGTTGTTTGAAAAGGAAAGTCATGAATATATTGTAATTAGCAAGTACTAAATTTAACAAAATTATCCTTACCTGATTTAGCTGCTGATTCTTTTCCTTTGATTGTTTCTTCTTTCTTTCCCTTTTTACCTTTAGCAGGTAACTCTGATGGAGTGGTCTCTGTAGGACATTTAACATAGATTTGAAATATTTTGAAATTTATTACCTTGCTCTTGTTAAGTTGGATTTTGATCTTGTCTAGGATTAAACTCAAATAAGGGGGAACGTGATCATATCTCTCGATTGCCAATTTCTTAACTTTTACTCTGGGTTATGGTAACTAATTATCATAGACCTACTTGGGAAGCAAAAATATTTGGTTTTGCATTGTATTTGTTTATTTTTTACTGCAAAACTATTAATGCATGAAGCAACAATGTTTCTGAGTTGTTTCTCAGCTGGCTCATCACACAGCCTGACATTGATGAGGGCTGGGTGAATGACTCAGGAGCATCCAATTATTTTCCATGCCTAAGGAAGGACTAGAACCTGAGTATCCTTTCTCCTAGTCCTGCACTTTAACTTCCACACCACACTGGCTCCCAGACATAACACTATATATCTAATTATAGAGAAAGTATTGTCATGAAATTGTCTGCTTGCTTTTACCTTTTTACCACTAGCTATTTATTAATTACATTACACCCCACTTTTCACCGAGAAGTTGAAGACTGCAGATTGATAATCAAATTACAAAACATCTCCACTGCTAAAGCTCTGCATCAAGGGTGTCAAACTCAATTTCATTGTGGGCCGCATTAGGCTTGTGTTTGATCTCAGGGGGCGGGGGGCGTGGCCGGGGCGTGGCCAGCTCAACATTACTTGTGTCGGGGGTGCCTGTAGGGGTCACCTGTAGTGCTCTGCCAGTGAAAATGGAGCTCCATTTTCACTAGCAGAGGCACCAAGGGCCAGTTGTTCGCTGTTTCCAGAGCGGCCCCATGGGCCAGATCTAAGTGCCCCATGGGCCGGATCTGGCCCACAGGACTTGAGTTCAACACCCCTGCTCTATATGGTTGGGTGAATGCACATATATACACATTGCTGTCCCTCTCATTTGGCATCAGGACAATACCATGTTCCATGCTATGGACAGAACTGGCACATTTGTTTCATGCTGCTTCTGTTTATGGTTCTGTCCCACTGCATTCACTATGAAATTTCTCAGGTAGTCTTTTTGCATATTTTCTAGGCCTGGCCTTAGAATTCACCAATGAAATTAAAGCCAAAAGGGACTTTCTTCTTACACTGAAAAGAGCTCTGTAAAGCCATCAATCTGCTTGTAGAAGTACATGGGCCAGAAGGCAACATACACTATTTAAAAGTGACCATAAAGAAATGGATGCCAAAAATGGCTTGTCCTGGAGCATCAGTTCAGTTTCTAAATGGAGGGTTGCATGCATGAAGTTCCACAAACCTTTAGTTGCAGGGGGTGGAGGTGGGGGCTCCTGTAATTCTGCCAATAGGGCTGCTTCTTCCATTTTTTCTATGAATGATTCTTCTGGCAAAAGGTGGATGGCCTCCTTCTCTTTTTCACCTTCTAACTTTTCCTTTTCTTTTCCTTCAATACAGGAATAGCAGCAAAGCACACACACACACACACACACACACAATATAGTAATAATATAATAAATATCATATAATACAATGCAATGCAATGCAATGCAATGCAATACAATACAATATTTACTATTTTTTTCAGCAAATATTCAAATGTCTTGAGTATTATTTCTCAGGATTCACATATAGTTACAATGGATAAAGAAAAAAGAAAAATGAATAAAAAAATAAGATGAAAATGAATATAAAGAAATAAAAATTGCTATGCTTCTATTTACTTAATCTCATTCCTAATAATATAGAAAAGAGTAACAAACTGCAAGTCAAAACTGTCACGTTAAGGAAATTTGAGGCCTTCCAGATGTTGCCTGAACTAGAATTACCAGCAAACCCAGCTTGGCTTAAGGCATGGAATATTGGGATTAGCATTCAAGAACTTCTGGACAGAGACGGATTCCACACCTCTGCATGGTTAAACAGGTTTATCATGAAAGTGTCAACAAGTCTACACAGAAGTAAGTTCTACAGCATTCAAACTTATTCCCAAGCAAGTGTATACTGGATGGCAGCTTTGAGTACTGAAATTAATGCATGCATAAGCATACCAATGTGCCTACCGTCCCTGTCCTATTGTTTCTTTCTTTTTTTCTTATATGTATCCATTTCATCATTTCACCATGCTTATACTTATACCTGTTATCTTATAATTGGTTGTCAAAATTAATTAATTAAACTGATAACTGATTTTAGACTGGTCCATTTTCTTGGAGGTCCAAATCTATTTTCAGAAATTATTGAGAAGATGACAGGCCCCATACTTTACCCAGCCTCTTTCCACACCTTCTCTGGAAATCTGTCTACACTTTTTAAAATATCATCTTTTTAAGTATCTTTTCTTGCCAGAGGGAGACGGTAGGGTGATCTGACTCTCCTTGAAGAAGAGTCATGTCTCCCTTGAGGGAAAGTAAACTGGAAATGTCTACGACATGCAGAAGGATGTGTATATTCTGCCTAAGTTCTTCAGGCTGGCAAGGAAGTTCAATGCTCTTTGTATTTCTGCTATTTTACGATGCATGGGTATTTGTGAAAGAGAACAATCTCAAAAGTAGGCAACAAGAAATTAGAACTCTCTCCAGCTCACATTGTTGCTTCAAAGTATTTAAAAATCTCCCAGGTTACCTTGGAAGTTACATCATGTTACACAGAATAATTCCAAAATATTTTGGGAGAAAACTGCACACCTGGGAGAAATGTAGTCTGGAATCCCAGGAGGGAGGGGCTGCATTCCAAAGGATGAAGGGATAGTGAAGTTTAGACTGATTGGGAGGAAGAGGGTCAAGATAGCTCTTCCCTAGAAATTCTCAGAGTATTTCTTTAATGATGCAGGCACAGATCGTTTTCAACTTACAACCACAATTGAACCCAAAATTTCTGCTGCTGAGACATTTGTTAAGTTTTTACCCCCATTTTAGAATTTTTCTTGCCATAGTTTTGTTAAGTGAATCGTTGCACTAATTAAGTTAGTAACCCAGTTGTTAAGCAAATCTGGCTTCCTCATTGACTGTGCTTGTCAAAAGGTCACAAAAAGGTGATCACATGATCCCGGGCCATTGCAACCATCATAAATATGAGTCAGTTGCCAAGCATCTGGATCACGTGACCATGGGGATGCTGCAACGGTCATAGGTGTGAAAAACAGTCATAAGTCATTGTTTTAACTTCTGTTGTAACTTCAAACATTCACTAAATGAACTGTCAGGAACTATCTGTAGTTGCTTTAGTTTGGCAAGATTTCTGTCTATAGGTGAGGAACAATAAAGGAAACTGCTTAGAAGTAACTCTATATGTCTTTCTTGGCTTTTGGAGACAGACATCATTCCACTAGCTAATGAAAAAGAGAAGATGGAGTGTCAAGATGCAGCCTGCTGCCATTTTGAAAGAAAAAATGTCTTTCGACTTAGCAGTGATTTTTTTCAAATATTTGGAACATTCTAAAAGTGTCCCCTGCTGTTCATGGAAATAAAACACATCGGATTAATGTGGCTAGCACGTTGTTATAATATATATATTTAAATTTAAATAATACTACAACTGTGCATACCTCAACTAGGAAAGCTCACACTGCCCAAGGAGCTGTTGATACAGCTATTCAAAGAAATTATTGAGTTTGTCACTTGTACTTCTGTAACTACCTGGTTTGCCATAGCAGCTAAATAGGACAGGTACAAACTTCAATGGTTAGTTAGGACTGCATAAAAAATTATTGCAATGAGCCTTCTTTCAACTGAGGACTGTATACTGCATGACAGATTTAACAGATAATCAGAGTTGGAAGGGATCTTGTAGGTCATCTAGTCCAACCCCCCGCCCAAGCAGGAGACCCTACACCATTTCTGACAAATGGCAGTCCAATCTCTTCTTGAAAGTCTCAAGTGATGGAGCTCCCACAACTTCCGAGGGCGAGCTGTCCCATTGGTTGTCAGAAAGTTCCTCCTTATTTCCAGGTTAAATCTCTCCTTGTTCAGTTTCCATCCATTATTCCTTGTCTGGCCTATAGGTGCTTTAGAAAATAACTTGATCCCTTCCTCTCTGTGGCAGCCCCTCAAATATTGGAAGACTGCTATCATGTCTCCCCTGGTCCTTCTTTTTACTAGACTAGCCAAGCCCAGTTCCTGCAACCGTTCATTGTATGTTTTTAGCCTCCAGTCCCCTAATCATCCTGGTTGCTCTTCTCTGTACTTTTTCTAGAGTCTCAACATCTTTTTTATAATGTGGTGAACAAAACTGGATGCAGTACTCTAGGTGTGGTCTTACTAAGGCTTTGTAGAGCGGTATTAATATCTCATTTGACCTCTATTGTATCCTTCTATTAATGCAATTTAGGATTGCATTAGCTTTTTTGGCTGCTGCTGCACACTGCTGGCTCATATTTAGCTGATTGTCCACTAAGACTCCAAGATCCCTCTCATAGTTATTGCTATTGAGCCTGGTTTCACCCAGTCTATATGTGTACTTTTGGTTTTTCTTGCTTAAGTGTAGAACTTTACTTTTCTCTACATTGAATTTCATTTTGTCAGATATGGCCCAGTGTTCTAGTCTGTCAAGATCCATCTGGATCTTGAGCCTATCTTCTTGGGTGTTAGCTATTCCTGCCAGCTTAGTATCATCTGCAAATTTGGTAAGTTCCCCTTCTATTCCTTCATCTAAGGCATTAATGAAGATATTGAAGAGTACTGGGCCTAAGACGGAACCTTGTGGCACCCCACTGCTTACTTCCCTCCATGTAGACTTAGACCCATTAATGACTACTCTTTGAGTACAGTTTGCCAGCCAGTTGTGAGTCCATTTAGTGGTAGCACTATCTATTCCACTTTTTTCTAGATTACTAAGAAGTAGGTTGTGGTCTACTTTGTCGAATGCCTTGCTGAAATCTAAATATATTATGTCCACAGTATTTTGCTGGTCTACTAATTTAGTCACTGTGTTGAAGAATGAAATAAGATTGGTTTGGCATGATCTGCTTTTAACAAACCCGTGCTGACTGCTAGTTATTACTTTACTTGTTTCTAGATGTTGGCAGATCTGTTTTTTTATTATCTTTTCTAGTATCTTCCTGGGTATTGATGTTAGGTTGATTGGTCTATAGTTTCCTGGGTTTGTTTTTTTTCCTTTTTTGAAGATGGGAACCACATCAGTTCTTTTCCAGTCCCCTGGTAGTTCCCCGGTGCTCCAGGATTTTTGAAAGATATGGTGCAGTGGTTCTGAGATGACCTCTGCCAGCTCCTTTAAAACTCTGGGATGGAATCCATCAGGCCCCGGTGATTTGTTTTCATCAAGATCAGACAGGTATTCTCTTACTATTTTTTTTTGCTTATTTTAACTTTTATTACTGGTCTGTCTTTTACAGTTATGTTTTTGGTGGGTTGAGCTATAGTTTCTTTTTGAGTGAAGACAGATGCTAAGAATGAGTTAAGCAGTTCTGCTTTCTCTGTGTTGCCTGTTACTTCCTTGACATCTTCTCTCTTTAGTGGACTGACTGTTTCCTTGATTTTTTTCTTGTTATTTATATGTTGGAAGAAACTTTTTTTATTATCTTTGACTTTTGTTGCCAGTCTTTGTTTGTTCTGAGCCTTTGCTATCCTGACTTCGTCTGGATCGTATGATCCAGAAAGAGGGCTGAGAAAATATCTACAGACCCCTCACATCCTGGATATAAACTGTTTCAACTCCTCCCCTTGGGACTCTGCTATAGGGCATTGCCTGTCAAAACAACTAGACACAAAAACAGTTTTTCCTTCATGCCATCATTCTGCTAAACCCCTAATTCTACAGCACTGTCTTATGCCTAACTATGTAGTAGGGCTGTATTATTATTTAGCCTTCTCATCTTTCCTATTATCTTCTCTTATTGATATCTTATGATTTATCACTTTGTTGTTTGTATGTGCACTCTTATGCACTGGAGAGAAATTCCATGTGTGTCCACACACTTGGTCAATAAAGAATACTCTAATTGTATTATTAACTTTTATGTAAAGAAAATGTAGTAGAAATTCATTATGAAAAAAAATGCAGTCAGAACAGTTTATAAGTAAAAAGATTAATGAAATTATGAAGACCACAACTCTAGCATATACTAATTTTGAAAGAAAAAAATAGTATTTCTGCACAGTTCACAGGGGTAGGTTGCTGTACTAGAAAGACAATGGAGAAAATAAGTTTTGTCATTATGTAAACAGCTATTTAATGGGGTTAATAAAATATTACATCAAGAATTATGTTATATAAGAATGGAACAAAAGAATACTGGACCCCAAAAATTGCTATCAGTGGTTCTCAATGAAAAGATTTTAAACAAAAACCTCATGATTGTTAAACTAAAAACAGAACAATTACTTTTAGACATTTGCCAGGAAGATTTTACAGTAAATCGGTTATATATAATTAATTTAATTAATTCCTCAAGACAAATAAGTAGCTACAGAATTTGGTCCAGCTGAAATGACTAATTAAAAATGCTATTACTGTATTTCAATAAGCCAGAATAATTCAATTTGGAACCATCTCTCATTTGTTATTGTTGTATTTAAATGTTGGTTAACATTGAGGTTCCTAGCTACCCATGAATAGATAACTGATTCTCATCGCATAGGGGAGGATGCATTTTCCATATGATTCATCCTCCATGCCTGAACAAAGATTTGTTCCACAAGGCTGCATTTATTGTCTCAAGACAATGTCTTTGATACAATCAAAGATACAATCTGACATGATCTCAATCAATACCATTGATTAAGTATCAAACCAGTTTATCACCTTGACTGTAACATATAATCATAGCACTTCAGCTAAAGAGGCAGTCTGAACTTACATGTCTCTGTTGCATAAACATGGGAACATTTGATGAGTTTCTAAAAATATTTCCCCGTTTCTGAGCAGACAGTACAAGCAAGAAGACGGGGTTTTCATTCTTCCATTATTGTAGAAAATATAGCAGAACAAACAACCAAGAATAAAAATGAGCAGTGGTGTTTTTAATTTGTATATAATAATGATTAAAATGAAAACATAAAAGAAAGAAAAAATAGCATTGATATTAATACTGAGCTCCATCCTTTACGTTAGACCACATAAAACATTGTCTTGTTTATCTTTTATTTTACAATATAAAGACATTTCACAAAGCCACAAAGAACAAAAAACAAGACCTCTATTTTGATATGCCTAAAATTAAAATATGATCTAAACATTATGGGGAAATAAAGAAAAGGCTAAGGGAAAAGAAACTGTATTTGGCAGTTAATGCTTACTTTATCTAAAGTAAGGGGTCATGTGGTGGATCAGCAGTTAAGATGCTGGGCTTGTTGGCTGGAAAATCAGCAGCCCAGGTTCGAGACCTGAGTGATATGTGATGAGGTGAGCTCCCGTTACCTTCTCCAGCTCCTGCCATCCTAGCAGGATGCAGATGTTAGTAGATAAATAGGTATCACTTCAGTGGGAAGATAACAGTGCTCCATGACATCATGTTGGCCACATGACTGCAGAAATATCTTTGCACAGCACTGGTTCAATGGGCTTGAAACAGAGACGAGCACCTCCCCCTATAGTTGGCAATGACTAGCAGAGTAAAATCCACAGCAATTCCTTTACTTTAAAAAAAAAAAATCTAATGTAAAGTAATATTTCGTACCTTTACTTTGGATCTTGATGATTTCTCCTGTTAAAATTTCTTTTATTCTTTGACACATAAGACTTTTCTCAATATCTGCATTGACTTTTATAAGTATATTTTGCTGTTCAGAATACCAATCTTCTAACTGGGGCCAAGCATCCAGGAATCCTATAATTCTACACAATAAAATATCAAAATCAAGATCACAAATACTGAAATGTTGCTCAATGTCTATGGAGATTCTCAGTCATCCAGGCCAAGGATATGTTTTTTCCAAGAGGCAAAGTCCAGTTGCCTCTTGAAAAAAGAAACAACAACTTTGGGACATGAAATGATGCTCATAATCCAAATAAGAAGAAATGACTACAATCAACATTTAAAGATGCCTACCAGCTATGTTGAGAATTGGGTATGTTGGAATTGGGTATGTCTAGTTTAATGAAAAGAAGGCTTAGGGTGGCATGATAGCAATGTTCCGATATCTCAGGAGTTGCCACAAAGAAGAGGGGAGTCAAGCTATTTTCCAAAGCCCCTGAGGACAGGACAAGAAGCAATGGGTGGAAACTAATCAAGGAGAGAAGCAACCTAGAATTAAGGAGAAATTTCCTGACAGTTAAAACAATTAATCAGTGGAACAACTTGCCTCCAGAAGTTGTCAATTCTCCAACACCGGAAGTTTTTAAGAAGAGATTGGATAACCATTTGTCTGAAATGGTGATAACCATTTGTCTGAAATGACTGAGCAGAGGGTGGACTAGAAGACCTCCAAGGTCCCTTCCAACTCTGTAATTCTGTTATTACGAGACTGATGCAGAATTTTGATATTATCTATTTACATTTATCAGCTGGTTCAAAAAAGAAGTCAGTGTTTAGCCATATTATTTCTTCTATGGGCATACAGTGAAAATTCCACACGTTGTTATCATCCAGGCAAAGTTTTCTATATTTTTTAATTCTTGCTACCTCTCCCAACCCAAAATGCAACTAACCTGTGCTGCATCTGGCCCCACGCTGATTTTAATTCCTCTCTTTCCTGGATTTCTGTTTGTGAAATTTGAGCAGTGGTTTTGTGTTCACTTTCATAGGAGTCAACTGTTGGATTAAAAAAAGAATAAACTTTTGAAACATATTTCTATGGCTGTATGATGTAAAGAAACAAAGATGAATAACATCCTTTTAATAGTGTCTAATATTTATAATATCCATAGTGATGGATTTTATAGCAAGAATAAAAGAGACAAATTGATCTTCTTCCCAGCTTCACCAAAATGCTTGTGTATCAACAGGCTACCATGCCATACAAGTGCTACTCTGTTAATGACCGTACAGCAACCGTTCAGCACTTCAGTGATCACATGATCATGATTGGGGTGGTTGGCAATTAGCCCATATTTGCAATGGTTTCAAAGTCCCGCAGTTACATAGTTGCAATTTGCGACCTTCTCTGCTAGTTTCCCACAAAAAAAATGAGGAAGCAGCAGGAAGTTGGACGTTGCGATCAACATAAGGTCCTTGCTTAGCAACCCACACAGTTCTCAACAATGGTAACCAGAGATTTCCAGAACTGCTGTCACTAAGCAGATTGGTTACATGATGTTGTGCTTTAAAACCATATTGCCACGTACTATGAGATTTGAAATTATGGTACAATTGGTTGGAAGGTAGACGCAAAGCTGATAGATGAAGGGCATGTAGGAGCTATAGTAAGTTGAGATAAATAATGTTTGTAAGTCTGTAAATATTTGGTTTATGTTGAATGCAAAAACAAATATGTAATATATAGTAACAACCTACATAATTAGATAGTATGTCAATGGGAGTGAACACTGATATTGAAAGGCTGTAATGAGTGGAAATATGTTTTATGATGAAAATATGATTAATAAAATTTATTTTTAAAATAAAAAAACACATTACTTAGTGATGGAAATTCAGGTCCTAATTACCCATCATTAATTAAAGACTATAGGTTTTGATGTCAATCTCTCAGTAAGCTTTGACCCTTGCCACATGCTTTAAATGCTGAACTTACCCTTCTCCGTTGCTATCCGATTCATCACAATGGAGTCTGTAACATCTAACAAAATCGCAAAGTCAAGACCAGGTGAACGCACAGGGGGCTCTTTTGGAGCTGCAGGGTCTGTAACCAGTGTGGGCTTTTTCAAGTTTATTGTATTAGTTTCTGTCTGGTCTGGGTCTCGTCCAGTCAGTGCTTTTTCAAGCAGCTTGGCCTGATTGAGTGTCATTGGGAATCCATCCATGATCCAACCCTTTTCTGGCTGTAGCCGACTAAATCAAAAAAGGGAGGCAGGGGTTGACAAGAGAGATCAAGACCAAAAATGAAATATATTTGGAAGAAATTATTAAAGCCTAAGTAAAACAAATTCCTTTGAAATGTGCTCCTTCTTCCACTGCTACATTTACAATGTTGTTCCAAAATTTCTGTTTTGGAATTCTGATACATCAAAAGCACAGATTCCAAGTAAACTCACTTCAGTCAACCTTCTCACAATTGGTGCTTTTCAAATGAGCACCAACCGTGATGAGCTTAAAGTGAAAAGCTTTCCTTCACTTTTATAAACCTGTGACAAAAACATGCCCCAACAAACTTTTTCTTATGCGTCTTCAAGATACTCCCACATGACACCTGTGCCAGTGTTGTCTTTGCCTACACTGGCATTACATTAATATTTTATTTCTTTTCCTGGGAAGCTTTGTTATGTCCCAACCTGGTGCTCTTCACTTTAAACAGTGATATAATGAGATCATCAGTAGAAGAAAGGTGGGCCTGTCCTCTCCCTTTCATTACCTTCACGGGACTTTACCAATTCCAAATCTAATTCTTTCAAAATAGTCTTTCCATCAGTATTGGAATGGGGGGAACAATAACTAATTAGTGTTGTTGGGATGGGGTGTGCTTCACAGTGAAGTGGGAGAGAAAGGTTGGGAAGTGACCGTCCAATTGAATCAAATACTTTCATGTCACAAATACCACTAAACTTGGTAGAATGCAAAAGCAAGAAGGCAGTTGGGTATATCTGAGGCAAATATATCAATATTGAAATACTGTATATTGTATCCTATTGTGATTCGCCCCCTGGTGGAACTATATTTTGAGTTGCTTTGCAATGAAATTCTTACATGAATTAATTGTGTGAAAACTACGCTGCATTCTACAAGTAACAAGGAAACTAATAACATAAGAGGGGGGGAAACTTCAAAGGATTATTAATAATTGCAGCATTCTAAAATTCTTAGCACTTGTATCAACTGACATATCTCTGCCTCAATAAATAAAGAAGAACAGGGCCAAGTATTTAGGGGAACTATGTTTGGCTGAAAAGCTACATTTGACTTTGGAAGAGTCAAACCCCAGGCAAATTAAGATTAGGAACACTTCATAAAATAATCCTTTTAGACTTCATAATCACAATGATTGTCTATATAATAACTTGTGTAAACATTAAAAGAGAGCCAGTTTGATGAAGTAGTCATAAGGCACCAGCCTAGGAACCAGGAGACTATGAATTCTAGTCCTGCCATTGTCTAAAGCCAGCTGGGTGACTTAAGGCTAGTCTCTGTCTAGTTGGACTAGAAGACCTCCAAGGTCCCTTTCAGCCCTATGATTCTATCTAGTCTCTCCCAGCTTTAGGAGGCAGGCGTAGGCAAGCTACTTCTGAAAATATTGCCAAGAAAACTGCAAGGACTCCTCCAGGAGGTAGCCAAGAGTTAAGATTGATTCAAAGGCACAAAAACCAAAATAAAATTAATGATTGTGATCCCCTATATTACAAACGTATATTAGACTCCACTTACAAACTTGCTTGGGCTAAATAAAACAAGCTAAAATAAAAACGTAGGAAAAATAACATTGCAGGTAGTCCTCACTTAATGATTGGTTACTTAGCAACCATCTGAAGTATCAATGGACCTCCCCAGAACTATTTATCATCTGGTTCCAGAGCCTACACACACACACACACACACACACGTGTCATACGATGGTATTTTGGATGCTTGGCAGGCAGCCCACATTTATGGTTGTTAGCAGCATCCTACAGTCACGTGACAGTGATTATTGGCAGTTTGCTGGTTTCTGGTGTTTACTTTTGTTTTCCAGCAAAAAATACCCATTGAAGAAAATGGGTTTGCTTAAGGATTGCAGCATTCACTTAGCAACTGCCATAAAAAAGGTCATAACATTTGGCACAGTCACATGGTAACCCGCTTAGCAGCCACCACAACTTATGACTATAATTCTGGGCTCAATTACGTTGGAAGTTGAGGACTACCTGTACATCATTTGTTATTTCCACCAGGTGCTGTTTTGTTTGTTTCATCTTGCAGACATGTGGATATATTTTCCTTGTGTGTCATTTTAGAGCCACAAGGCTCTGAAAGCTGGACAGTGAATATAACGTAATGTTATGATTAATATTTCCTGTCTGTGTAAACAAGCTCTTATTATTTTTCTGTTTAATGGGAGACAATTTCTAGACTAATTTAGGCATCACTACAATGCCAAATCTGACCCTACTATTACAATAAAAGCTAAGCAGATATTAATGTCATACCTAATAGCTTCCACCATGATGCCAACTAGTAATTCATCTGGAATGTTTTTTCCTTTCTTTAACAATGTCTCTGCTGCTGCACCAAGCTGAGCACGAATAGAAAGCTGTGGAATTTATGACAGACATTTAAAAAGATATTCAAGTTTAGTAAAAACATAAACTTTTCCCACGTGTGTGCATTTCTTTATTAAACTTAAATCCCATCCTTCTGCTCAAAACAATGAAAAACATTTTTTTAAAATAAATGCACGCTATGGGAATTCTAATTAAAACCTAAAAACAAATCATTCACAGAGAGAGAGACAACACTACCTGGAATTCTTATTTTAATATGGGAAGAAAATAATTGACTTATTTTGAATAATTTAATGTTGCTACAGCTTTTTAAACATTATTACAAGTTTATACAGTCATCTTTTTTAAAACTACCAAAAAATTAATTATATAAATACATAAAAGATTTTAAAGAGTAAAAACAATAAAACTAACAGTTTGAAAACAATTAAGCAGAAATTAGAGGATTTTGCCGAACTAAGGAAAGACCTAGGAGCATAAAGAAAATTCAAATTTTGGGTGAACTCAATCCACAGCAAGGATCTACTTTATCTCTGTCAGAGGTTTATTCAGTGCAAAAAACATTATCTTCCCTATTATTGAATATCAGCAAATTGTGCTGTAATCAGTACAGCATCTTATGTTTAAGATAAAGACTTAGTAGGCCTGTGCGGAAATAAGTGGCTTCCTAGATAATTCATCTTTACTATGTACTCAATTATTAAATGATACCTTGATTCTGAAACAGGTTTTCAGTAGCTGGTTTTTCTTTAATAACTCAAATAGGAAGTCAGGACTGAATTAAATTCTAGGACGTTGAAGAAGGAGAATTTAACCTTTTGCTGTGGTCGCAATGTCAGTCAGATGCTTATTCAGTAAGCACTTCCTATTTGCAATAGGAATGAAACTCCTATAGTACCCTATAGAAAGATGGTTGGAAACTATTTTGCATGGCCACACAAATTGGAATCAGAAATAAAGAGTATGAACTGCAACCACACAAGTGTCTGTTTAAGTATAAAGAAAAAATTCTTGACAGTAAAGACTATATAGCACCAGAAAGGTCTACTACAGGGAATGGAATGGAATGGAATGGAGTGAAGTGGAATGGGATAGGGTAGGATAGAATAATAGAGTTGGAAGGGACCTTGTAGGTCATCTAGCCCAACCCCACCCAACCCCTCCCAAGCAGGAGACCCTACAAGAGACAGGGAGGATGGGCTCTACCTCTTTAAAGGTTTTTAAGAAGATACTGGACACTTTTCAAGAATAGTTTTAATTGGTTTCTGGCACATTAGAGGCTGACTAGATGAGTCTTCTATTCTCTTCCATTTTACATGGCCACACAAGATGACTTTTCTATCCTCTTCCATTTTCCATGGCCACACAAACTGGAATCAGAAATTGGAATCAGAGTATGAACTGCAACCACACAGTGTCTGTTTAAGTATAAAGAAAAATTCTTGACAGTAAGAACTATATAGCACCAGACAGGTCTACTACAGGGAATGGAATGGAATAGAATAACAGAGTTGGAAGGGACCTTGTAGGTCATCTAGTCCAACCCCACCCCCACCCCTCCCAAGCAGGAGACCCTACAGGAGAGAGGGACTGTGGGCTCTACCTCTCTAAAAGTTTTTAAGAAGATAGTGGACACTTTTCAAGAAGAGCTTTAATTGGTTTCTGGCATATTAGAGGCTGACTAGATAACTCTTCTATTCTCTTCCAAATCTACAGTTCTATGACTCTATACAATGAACAGATTCATTGGAAAAGACCCTGATGTTGAGAAAGACTGATGAGGCAAAAGGAGGTAGTGTCATGGACGCAGTGAGCATGAGTTTGGGCAGACTCAAGGAGACAGTGGAGAATGGGGGGAGGGGGGGCTGGCGTGCTATGGTCCATGGTCACGCAAAGAGTCGGACTTGACTGAACAACAACACATATGGAACAAAATGATACAAACAATAAAGCTCCCAGATCCAGAAGACCTTAAAACTCAAGGCCATTTAGTCTTGCCAGGATTCAGTTGAAATCTGTTCCCCATTCAGACATCCACTGGACATCAACACCATTGTATAGTTTGTGAGGGGCAGAGATATATAATTGAGTTCCGCCAGCATATTGATCATGCCTCACCTCATGGCGACAGGTTCTCTCTCCCTTTGGAAGACCTTGCCTTATATTATTTTGCCACCAAAAAAGCCACCAGGTCTTATTTTGGGTGGATGTCATCCAATGACTAACCTCACTTGCGCACATCACCCCTAGCCTTCTTTTCACTATCAGAGGCCTTCAAGAAGTTCTTTGTTTGCAGCCAGCAAGGCTTTCCTGAAGGCCTCTGCAGCCGATAACAGAACTCTGGATCGATCCGGAGCTTTGTTATCAGCTACAGAGGCTTTCAGGAAAGCCTTGCCAGCCTTGTCGGTTGCAGAAGAAATGAGCCAGCAAGGCAGGTGTTGGGGTGTGCAAGGCCTGGCTACAACTATCCAAAGGTAAGTAGTAGGGCAGCTCCACATACCCATCCCCACCCTAGCTTAATTTTTACCCATCTACCGTGGAGTGGGCAGGATCTTAATTAGGGCTTATTTTGAGGGTAGGGCTTATATTGGGCACACGTGTAAAAATCAAGCTAGGACTTTCAGGGTAGGTCATATTTTTGGGAAACAGGGTAGATGTTAGATAGGAGTGGAGAAAATACCAAATTCTCTTCAAGCGAAGGGTACAAAGGCATCCAATCTAGCATTGGCTTTGCCTTGCTCATTATAGTCTTTACTGATTCACAACTGCTTTCCAACTTTGTCCCCTTGGCTTGACTCCTAGCTCTCCCCTTAAGGACTACTTACAGCTCAGTTCAGACTCTCTTCAAAAACATACATGGATCATGTTCAAGCATAAATTATAGTCAAAAGAGTTATTTAAGTTCAAAGAAAGAACTTGCACTAATTAATTAATGTTCTTACCCTAGATTTGAGCAACTACTTTCTAAAAGTTAGCTATATGATATTAGGTGCTGCTGTTTGGGGACAGCTTATACTGTAAGAAATTTCAAATTATTTTGGATGTGGAAGCAATGAATTTTTTTTTTTATAAACCTCATGAAACTGAACAATTAATGAACTTTCCCCAGCCTAGTGGTCTCCCATGCTAGCACTTTTAATCCCAAACGAACAGGGAGAAAACCAGGTTTGGGGAAATTGACCTGAAGAAAAGAAATATACATTTTTCAAAATATAGAAGGACCCCAGCCGTGTTCAGTTTAGCTTCTGAAGCTGAATTGAAAAACCCCAATGACAGTTTAAAAGTCTGGTATAGTTGCTTTGGTATAAAATATGTTTTCTTCAGCTTGGTCAACAAATCCAATCAAACCTATATGTTTATATATAATATCCACACACATATAAAATTGTCTGTGGCTTATATCATCAAAATGTTCTTTCCAAATCTAAACTTTATTGTTTTTATTCTATTTTCTGCAACAAAAAAAATCTATTGTATATTGATTGATGTCTATACCTTCAGTTTTTAGACTTTTGTCAGAAACAACCTTAATATCTAAATACAATAGAAGTTAAAATCCAGTTCATACTTTAGTTAATTCAGCCTCATCCTCTATCTCCATTTGGTCAACCATCACAGCAGAGCTTGATTTCTCAATACTTTCTAGGAACAGTAAAATACCAAAAAGCAAAACAATTAGGATTTGGATATTAACATTAATTCCTTGTGCATGGTCTACTACTCTCTGAGCCAAACAAATCTTGACAACTGACTTATCATCAATACGATGGCGTTTTTAAAGACACATAATAAAATTTAATACTAAGGTTTACAAAAATGTTTACGTATTTATAACACGAACTGAAGTAAATGGATTATTGATGAATTTCTCAGTTCTGTCTGTTCACTATTCCTTTTACCATCTATGTATTCAGAATTGTGGTATAACCAACATTTCAGTTTGATTCCTGAATTTCATTATGGTTACAGCTTTCAGATTAGCAGCAACTCTTCTCATTCCATCACATTCGTATCATGACCAAGTTTGCATTATTTAGCATCTTATCAAACTGACAGCCAGTTTGGTGCAGAGGTTAAGGCAACAGGCTAGATACCAAAAAACCTTAAGCTCTAGTCCCGCCGTAGGCATGAAAGCTGGTTGGGTGACTTTTGGCCAATCACCTGGAGACTGAGAGTTCTAGCCCTGCCTTGGGCATGAAAGCCAGTTAGGTGACTTTGGGCCAATCACTCTCTTTCAGCCCAACTTAATTCATTTTCTGTCACAACCAATGGATGAACACTTTCTTGACTTGAAAAAAATGGATCCTCCACTTGCAGGAAAAATATTAGAGACAAATAAATAACATCTTATCACTACATGTGAGTTAAATCAATAAACCAAAACCATACCAATGTCTTTTAATACCAATGTGCATCTTTATATTAGTAATATGGAAACAGAAAAAAAGCATATGAGCTAAAATAGAATATGTGCCAAAATGGAAAAGCATATCAACAATTTTAAACTTTTAAAAAACCTTTTTCTTCCAATGCAGAGAGAATGAGAATAAGTAGTTTGGAAGCACCCAACTTTCATCCCATGAGACATTGGCCATGCTTAATTATACCATCTCCACACACATCATGTGCCAAACAGTGCAAAATTCTGCTCCTGAAACTTATAATCTGTAGTTCTGCAAAGGATTTTGATGGTAAGAATCATTGGCCCAGCATTTTGTCAAACTTATTGAAATAGTTTGAGATAAGATGTTGTATTAATGTCAAAATTTTACAAAGTGATATACTGTCAGCTTTACAGTGACAGTTGAAAAAACTTACAACTCCATATAAATTAGTCACAAATCCTGTTGTAAAGAAAAAAAATAAATTACTCCTGCAAACTTGGGCTACTGTAGCTGCGGTGTATCTGCAACCATATGTGCTGGCAACAAATTACAATGTTCTGGAGCTCTATGCTGGCCTCCAGGAGCGTCCTGGATTTTTGCAATCCTTATGTGTTAGTTTTGGCAAAGCAAGAGCTTTGTTGTTTTGACCATCTCATTTTAAGCCTGGTGTGGATGAACATTGAACTCCAACATCAGATTTTTATTTATGGATTTACCTTTGGGCTCCTCAATTGCTATGTTCTGTTCTGCTGACTCATAAGTTTTCAATACTACCAATGAAGCCTTAGAAGCCTCTTTTAGAACCTTTTCAAATAAACAAGCAAAGAAATCATTAGCCATTTCTTTTTCCTTTTGGTAAATTCACTGGTAAATTTTGGAAGACAGTTTTGTAAAAATCAACACCGAATATAATAATTTAAGAACTCAACAAGAATCTGGTGAAAGAACATTATTAACACTTTTTGATATGATGTAATATTATGATGTAATATTGGCTGGGTTCCTACTTTGGACTGAGCAATAGCTGGTTAATCCTAGTTTGTACAATTTATTTATTAGTGTATTGGATTTAACCCCTTCCTTTTTTGTCAATTTGATAAACAATCATTTATAATTCCGAATGACTGGATTCACACATAATGGGTTGCCATGAATCTAGCAGCTGTGACTGATAAGCCACGGTTTATTGCATAAAAAACAACAATGCCTTAGCATGTTGCATGAAGTCATCCCTGTTCCTCCTGCTGGATAATGAAATTTGTATTGTTTTCCAGTTTCAAAGCGAATTCATGACATTGTTTTTTCTCTCAATGAAAACCAACTGTATGCAACCAATCAGACGCCTTCAGCTCTCTTCATTCAGAAAAGGACAAGGACTCACAAGTTTAGAGGGGTTTGTAAAAGATAAGCACAAACAAAATGGGAATGGATCTCTCTCTCTCTCTCTCTCTCTCTCTCACACACACACACACACACATGTGTATACATGTATACACTGTATACATGTGTATACACAATGTATACACACACATTGTTGTGAGCCACATGTTTGTTTAGTAAATGTATAAGGCCACTTGATTCCTTCATGACTCCAGATGGCATATAACTTGAAAACTATTTAAACATTTATGCCCTTTCCTGGATAGGGAGGTTCTCCACTTGATCACTCATGGCTTGGTCATCTCCCATCTGGACTATTGCAATGTGCTCTACATGAGGCTACCATTGAAAAGTATCTGGAACCTTCAGCTTGTACAAAATGCAGCCTTTTTTTGACAAACTTGGGAGCCCAAAGAATGGTGCACCTAACACCTCTGCTGTGTGAATTTCATTGGGTGCTGATCTGCTTCCAGGTCCAATTTAAGGTGCTGTTTATGATCTTTAAACCCCTACATGGCAGGGGGATTTCATGTTCCCAAACCATCTGTATCCCGTTAGATCAGCTGGTCTCACCCAGTTAGCCAGGGAAGATATACTGCAGATCCTGTCAGCCAAAGAATTCCAACTGGCAAGAGTCCAGGAAAAAAAACCTTCTCTGTTGTTGCCCCTCCCACCCACCCTGTGAGGCAGATCTCTATCCTTGGCCTTCCATAAAAGCACAAAAATATGCTCTATGCCAGGGATCCCCAAACTTGGCAACTTTAAGACTTGTGGACTTCAACTCCCACCAGGAAACACTGTTTAACTGATGAGACCCAGAGCATGCCGGCTGTCTGAGCATATATGATAGACAGAAACCACAGAAGATAAATAATCTCTCAGCGAACCAGGCTCTAAGACTAGACCGGGTGTCAGCAACCTGCGGCTCTGGAGCCGCATGCGGCTCTTTGGGCTCTCTGCTGGGGCTCCCTGTTGGGTGATCCCACCAGTGGTTCGCCCTCCCCTCCCAGTCACTCCTCGCCTGGCCTGAGAAGTTAAAACACAAAAAACAAAAATGAGAGAGAGGGAGGTAGAAAGAGACCCATTTCCCACAGAAAACACTGGGAGCCATGAAACTTGGTTAGGCATGGTGGGGTGGGTGGGTCATGTGACTGGATGGGAGTGACGTTGAGTTGGCCATGCCCACCCAGGTTTTGAGACTCCTGGTGTTTTCTTTTCTGTAGGAAATGGGTCCAAATGGCTCTTTGAGAGTTTAAGGTTGCAGACCCTGGGACTAGACTTGATGGCACATAATTAATTAATATTATAAATATTTGATTTATTTATTTGTATCACCTCTTTCTTTTTACAAATAACCCAAGAAGGGAACATATTCAACACAATTTTGTCGTCCTATTTTCGTACAACAACAACCCTGTGAAGTAGGTTAGGCTGAGAGACAGTGATTGGCTCAATATCACCCAGGTGGCGAATTTATGGTTATGACAGGAATTGAGTTAGAAGGCTCCTGCTTTCTAGCCTGGTGATTTAACCACCAGACCAAATTGGATGATTACCAGCACCTTGAATTGTACAGGAGCAGCCCCATGTATAGGACTTTGCAATAGTCTAGCTACAAGATGATCAAAGCATGAGTGATTATCCTAACAGCCTATTAATTCAGGTATTGGATCATTAGATGAATTTTGGGAACTCTTTTCCATCCAATTGCCATCTACCTCCTTGAGCAAAAGCTGTGAATCCAAGAAAACTTCCAGTTACATCCCAATCTTGAAGTGGAACTTAAGAGTAACATCCTTAAACCTGGATAATTCAAATAACCACAGATATCAATCTTGTCATTGACCCATTAGAAAAAACTACTATTTTCAATATATGAATACCAACTAAAACAAAAAAGCTGCTTTAGGCCATGGAATTCAAACAGTTATTCTTACAAGGCACAACAGAAAACAGAGATTTAATCTGTGAAATTCTCCTCTCCAAACTTTACTGAAAATTAATTTGCATTTGTACAAATAGAGGCTTTTGCCCCCAATCAACAGCTTATGGAAGTATTTGGAGGTGGAAGGACATAATTGGAAATTTTATTTTAGGCCAACTTTAGTATCAATTGTTAAAGTCTGGTCAAACATAATACACAGTCCTTGGAAGCACAATTTCAGTTTACCATTCCATGCCAGGTTTTACTTACTTGTATTTGATTCAAAGAAGAGCCTTCCATTCTGGCTGGAAGTAAACTTTCAACCACTGTTTCATTTTCATGGAAGGATTTAATTGCCTCTTCAATCAATGCATCCAGAGATAGGACCTGGATATTAAAAACTGACACAGAGACAATCTGGTTGTAATGGGTTTATTATATTTTATGTCATTATAAAAAGAGATTGTAGGAAATGGGGTCAGAGGAATGCTTTTCTATATATCTTGTATACGTACAATGACAATAAAGTATTATTACTATTATTATTATTATTATTATTATTATTATTATTATTATTATTAATGATAGAAAGATATTCTTGGAGAATTTTTTCACTCCTACTCTTTGTAGAACCAAGTCTTTCTGGAAACCATAAGGACTGATGAAATATATCACTCATGTCATGGGATCCGTACTTCCTGGCTTTGCCACAAAGAACCATGAAATAGATAAGAAAAAAAAAACCTTTGCAGTCAGTTAGAATCAAATGGTAATGGCACATGATATCAAGAGCTTAATATGGATTTTTTCCTCCTATAATTTAGGGGATTTGAAGACATGTCCTTAGGAATTTCAAAGTTAGTTGCTGGACAAGACAGTATTTCTTTTCGGAGTGACTTCACTGATCCAGCCAATTGCTTACTAGTGCTATTTTAAATTACTCCCAGGTGTATGGAACTTCATTGGCGTATTTATAAATAAATACTGATATTGTTTGTTCTGCTAGCTTTTGTCATGTTTAATTGACAGTACTGTTTTCTAAAGAGGATAGTACCTAAGAAGTCACCAATAGTCATCAGCATGATTTAGTACAATTGCAGTTTTAAAGGGCAAGGGGTCATTTAGGTCATCAAGTCCAATCCCCCTTCCCAGAGTAGGATTGAAATATTCTCAGCACATAATTAACTTCTGGTTGTCTGTACTACTGATTCCATTGTTAAGCTATTCTTGCTTTTTTTAAATATAACGTTAAATCAGAATCCATCTTCTTTAGCTTAAATCTAGTGCTCTGTTGCCTATAAACTGGAACTATAAAAAGCAGGTCTTAGATTAACAAGTTCAAATAAAGTAGAACAATTACTTCCTGTCTATTCAATGACATCCAAGATGGGTGTCAAAATCCCAAGATGATAATAATATATAGCAATGAAGGTTCTGTCCCTTTTCAACATGCATTGCTGATTTTAACCTTCCCCTGCATCAATTTATAAATTCTTCTGGTGCAACCTAAAATGGCATTTTTTGTAGTGATATTACATTGCTGACTTTGCTAGTCAGACAGCGCAACCCTCATAAATATGATTCACTTGCCAAGCATCTGAATTTTGATCATATGATCACAGGGATGCTGTAAGGTCATAAGTGTGAAAAACAGTCATGTCACTTTTTTTCAGTGCCATTGTAACTTTGAAAGGTCACCAAATGAACTGTTGTAAGTCAAGGACTACCCATACTCTTCTTTAACGGTAGTACCAAGTTAGAGTAAGGGCAAAAAGTTCCCTTGTGCTTTCACCATTTGAAGGCGAAAATAGTGAATATCATAAATCTTAAATTTCCTGGAAGGGTCATTCTTAGCAGACTTTGTCTGTTCATGTGTTAAGATATTGGACAATTCCCCATCAATATTAGTATTTCACAATTCTTGGAAATATCCGTAGTCTGTTTTTGAAAAGCATCACCTGCTCTATTTAGGCAAGTCCTGTAGTTTTTATTCATTTCACCACTTACTTTACCCCAAATGCTCTCAATAGCACTGCCAAATTCATTTGGCATCCTATTGCTTTGGTAAATGTTGCTTTCTTTTTCTTTTAAAATTTTCTCTTTTGGCCGCTACATTCTAACCATCATCACTTTCCCCTTTACCCTTAGCACATTTCAAATGCTTCTCTGCAATATGATGAGCCTGCAAGGATAGAAAAAAATGATACTGGAAAAGAAAGAAAAAGGGGAAGGCGTCCGAAAAAGCAGGTGTCAAGTGTGAGAATGGCGTCCTCCCACCTTCAGTTTTGATCTACTCAAGTGGACATGCAGTCTCCCATCAACTTTTCTTCCAGAAACACATTACCCAGGGAGTGGGGTGGGGAGGGAAGTCCTCTGTCCCACAGAGAGCACAAAATGACATCAAGGGGAAAGTAAATTCTAAGGAAAATAGAAATCCACCCTACCTTTTCCTAAGAAGTTTAAGCAGGTGGTTTTTCCACTATAGAGCTTTCCCAAAATGCAACCTTTCATAGGAAATGGAGAAAATATAGACGGTGGTGGTTCCGGGTCTGGGGGATATACAAGTTCCATCAATCTGTGAATCACATGACCCAATATTACATTATCAGGAGGTGGTTTATTTACTCTGATCTCTTCAGGAGGGTACCACTCCTCAACCATAGCCTGCAGTAAAAGAAATCACAACATAAAATGGAACATTTGGCATCCATCCAGGCTGCTGCAAAAAGGAACCAAATTGAAACACAATCCTACGGGTGCTTATTTAGAATAGAATAGAATTCTTTATTGGCCAAGTGTGATTGGACACACTTTGTGATTGGAATTTGTTTTGGTGCAAATGCTCTCAGTGTACATAAAAGGAAAGATACATTCATCAAGAGTCAAGAATCATCAGGTACAACACTTAATAATAGTCATAGGGTACAATAAGCAATCAAATCATACTTGGAAACAGTAAATATAAATCGTAAGGATACAAGCAAGAAAGTTACAGTCATAGTCACAAGTGGGAGGGGATGGGTGATAAGGAGTAATGAGAAGATTAATAGTAATAGTAGTGCAGACTTTGTAAATAGTTGAACAATGTTGAGCGAATTATTTGTTTAGCAGAGTGATGGCATTCGGGAAAAAACTGTCCTTGTGTCTAATTGTTCTGGTGTGCAGTGCTCTATAGCGTCATTTTGAGGGTAGGAGTTGAAACAGTTTATGTCCAGGATGTGAGGGGGCCTGTAATTATTATCACAGCCCTCTTTTTGACCTGTGCAGTATACAGGTCATCGATGGTAGGCAGGTTGGTAGTAATTGTTTTTTCGGCAGTCCTAATTATCCTCTGAAGTCTGTGTCTGTCCTGTTGGGTTGCACAACCAAACCAGACAATTATAGAGGTGCAGATGATAGACTCAATAATTCCTCTGTAGAACTGTATCAGCAGCTCCTTGGGCAGTTTGAGCTTTCTGAGTTGGTGCAGAAAGAACATTCTTTGTTGTGCTTTTTTGATGATGTTTTTGATGTTAGGTGTCCATTATAGCAGTAAATTTCATTTAACTGTGTAAGATATTATCTGAGCAAAGGAAAAGGCTGCAGCAAGTTATTTCATTCAAGATTCACAAGGCTTACAGCCATTTTAAAAAAAAGGACCTTCTCCAAGATGGCACTATCCAGACATCCAGATATTATCAGACTCCTATTCCCATAGGCTACATAGACTGGTAATTCTGAAAATTATTGTCCAAACAACACCTTTTGGGTTTCAATTATGAGAAACTCTCAGGAAGATCATGAGCCACTGTATTATGTATATTGTGTGAAAAACGTGTCCATGGTTTAATATTTTTAATCACTAACAAGAGAACTAACGGGCTTTGCTCATATAATAAATTCCACCTGCTCACTTAAACTGCAATAATTTAGGTCTCACTAGGAATTCTATCTTAATGACATAAATTAAATTGCCTGACTTTCTTCCTGCTGTTATCACTAGCAAACTTGCTTTGCTAGTGGTACTATAGGCAGGGGTGGGATTCTACAGGTTCGCACCTATTCGCTAGAACCAGTTGTTAACATTCTAAGCAGTTCAGAGAACCGGTTGTTAGAAGAAATGACTGGCCTAATCCTGTAAGAAAGGCAGGAAGGAAACATTCTGGTGTTGCTTACAGAAACTGCCTCTCCATTAACCCTTATTACATTCTTGGCAAGGCTAGACTTCCTGTCTCAGGAATGTCTCTGGAGTTTTTTCCCCCTCCTTTGCTGGTACTTTGCTTGTGGGGAGTGACCATTCAAAGTTACAATGGCACTGAAATAAGTGACTTATAACCATTTTTCACACTTATGACTGATGCAGCATACCCACAGTCATGAGAAGCCAGGCGAGGAGATGTGTGCCTCGATGTGAGTGATGTTGAGTTGGCCACGCCCTGTCAGTCACATGACCACCAAGCTATGTCCACCAACTAAGCCATGCCCACAGAACCGGTTGTTAAAAAATTTGAATCCCACCCCTGACTATAGGTGTATTATAAGGTAATCAACAGTTCCCAAACTCATGTTTTTCACTTGTGTTGACCATTCTGACTGACAATTAAAGAAGCTGCAGGTTACCACATATGAAAGTTTTGAGATTAAGAAAGGCTGCCATAAATAAGCCATTTGAAAATAAACCACATTGAAGCAGATTGTTCTAATATTAATAATAAAGATTTGTGTAATTTGTTGTTAGTATCAGTTGGAGACATGAGCACCTTTTCCTTCTTCCCTCTAGAAAGCGTGTTTTTTTCTTTTGTTTAAACTTTAGCTTATTTTTGCTTCTGACCTTCAAAGATGACATAAATGGTTCTTCTCTTGGGTATTAACTAGGACTGGCTCATATTATTAATATGAAAATATTGTGAATAGGCTTGAAATAAGAGGAAGAAGAAAGAAAGATGCAATTTCCCTGGATTCTCATTCTTGTTTTGCAGCAGAAAAGGGAACTGGTGAAATTCTCTTTTTTGTTTTGTTTATGAATGGCAGTATCCAACAAGCAGAACTATGTTCAATGGCTCAGGTACTGGATATATGCCCAGGCATTTTCATTCAAAATCTCAAAGCAGAAAATATTTATACTCTGTTGCATTAAACAATGAGAATGTATTATCTTTTCCCAAAGAAAATAAAATGCCCATTAATGTTTCAATTTCATTAGCAAAGGAAAATAGCTTTCTGAGCCAAAGAGAAATGATATTACAAAGAAAAACACCGCACCCTAAGATATTTTGCAACCTGCATTGTCAGATTTTCCCTGATGTTGAGAAAAATAATGGTTTGCAGACTGTATTTACTCTGCCAGTACAACTGAAACTTTCGGACAAAATAGATTTTCTCTTGCTCCAAGATCCCCTGTGGTTTTTAAAATCTCTGGCCAGGGGACTTGCCAGGCTTAATTTCTGAAGACGATATGGGAAGTGAAGAAACAGAAGATGGAAAGAATTGTAGAGAACAAAAGAAGACAGCCTCAGTGGAGATAATGCAAGCCTCTTTTGCCTACGAAATAGCACCTGTATATCTCTGTCAAAGATACCTTCCTTATTTGCTATAAAACTCCAACACATGAATACAAATCCAGTCACTAAACATGGTGTAACCAGATGCAAATGAGCCAAAAGTGGAATGCACCAAACATTCTTGCCAAAGCAGGACAAATAATCTGATGTTGAGCAGTATCTGACTTTTTGTTTAGTAACAGAACTAGTTATTGAAAACAAAAACAAAAATATGTCTGGATTTTTCTTGTACGTTTCCAAATAATTATTAAAGGGATAGATTTAAGTTTTGTGAGTCTGCTTAGCTCTAGGTCAATCTCTGATTCAGGAAAAACATATTTGGCTGTTATATCCAAAATGGACAGATACATTTTTAATTTTCTCACCAATCTAAAAGTAAAAAACCAGTTGTAATTTTTTCTCACCATAAAGTAATAAATTCAAACTATGTTTGCTAGTTCAAATGTAAACAGAAATGATGCAGTACTCTAACCAAGTTATGAAGTGGCTCCAGGTACACAATGGAAAAAGAATCATGGATGAAAGGGCACAACTTTTTATTTCTTACAACTCTTAGCTGGCATAATGAGTTATAGCTGAGCTCAAATAAACAACTTTAGATTTCAACAATTAGAAATGTGTATCTCCTTATCTGCTGCTCCAAACCATCTCATATTAGCTTGGATGAAAATATTCTGGGTTCTATTAAGACACACTTTTGTACTTTATTCAGATCATGTAATGTTTCTCAGCATTGGAAACTTTAAGATATGTGGACTTCAACTCCAGGAATTTTCCAGTCAGCTGTTGAATTCTGGGAGTTGAAGTCCATACATCTTTATAGTTGCCACGATTGAGAAAAACTGAGATAATGAATGCCAAATAACAAACTAAGAGAAGAAGGCATGAAGAGACAGGAAGAAGGGGAGGAGTATTCAGTGACATTGTTTAAGGTTTCATATATCTAAAAGCACTCATCGATGTTGCAAAATTGTTCAAAACAAACTGTGAGCATGTGATAGATTCGCAAACTCACTATGTATCTTCTTGATTAGTACTGGAAAAACAGTCAGACTGATAAAAATTGGAACAATGTCTCTTGAATCAAATTAGGCATTATGGAAGACACATCCATACTGTTCTTAGTTCAAGAGTGAATACACAACTGAAAATATAGGAAACAGCACTTTGGGCTATAAATATATACAATGATATGGCAAAAATTCCTTCCTGCCCCCCTCAAGAAGTTGTGGATGCTCCAACACTGGAAGTTTTTAAGAAGAGATTGAACAACCATTTGTCTAAAATGGTATAGGGATTCCTGCCTGAGAAGAAGGGTTAGACTAGAAGATCTCCAAGGTCCCTTCCAACTCCGTTATTCTGTTAAAATCAACTCAATCAGTTTGGATTTACTAAGTTTATCAACCTTGATTTATTGGTTTAGTTTGGTTGCTTGGTTTTATTTACCAAGCTTAACCCAAAACCATTAGGGAGTTCATGCAACTGTATATAAGCAGAGCGCAAACCCATGTTCTTTAGTACTGATGATGTTATATAATTGGGTAATGAAACATCTGCAAGCAAACAACCATGCTCAGAAGGCGGGTAAAATTAGGATCCAGATTGTCAATAGGCTGACTCTGAAAAACAACTTGGAGAGAGTTGTAAAGTGGTATATAAGTCTAAGTACTATTGCTATCAGGACCTGGATGACGCAGAATCCCCCTAGACTTTTAGCTATGCACTTTGGGATGAATGGTGTGGGAGTATGAACAGATTTTCAGAAAAACTGCAGACTACAGGAACCATTTGCGCTTCACTTTGAGATGCAGACAATACAGAACTCATCCCCAACAGCCTGCGCCAGTCTTGAACAGGGAAGGGACACAGGGCAGAAAACATCCTGCAGCCAAGAAGCCTCCACGCACATCTGCACTATTCAGGTGACCCTGAGGACAGACAAATCCCCAGATGGCCTCAACAACTCTCTAAAAGGATGCAAATGACCAGCTCTCTGCAAGGAATATAAATCCTTCCATTCCCCACCATCCAGCCAGAGTTAAAGAAGCTTCTTGGATGAGAAGCAAAATATCTTCAAAAGAAAAAAACAAGGAAGTCCAGTTGCCTCCTGGAAAAGCACGTTTGAGGTGCTTCAAGAATGTGCAAGAGCACAAACAAAGCATCTCACTTCGACCCACTAAAGCAGTTGCAAGGCTTGTGCAAAGCTTGTGCAGTTGTTTTGCAAAGGCATCAGAAACAGCTTGTGAAGCAGCCACATCAGCCTTGCAAAAGATATAACGGATTATCAGTGCAAAGACTGCTTGGTGTGCACTTTTACACAGCCACATCTCTCTTCAGCTTTTGCCATTACTTTGGCTCTAGAAGTAAGGAAGCTCTGACTCTGATTACATATTTCAAGCAAGTAATCTGTGGCATCAAGATTGCCAATTGCAAAAAACCCACATTTTTCATGTCTATTTTTGTGCTTAAATGAATTCTCTACAATGCTACAGAGAACAGAAATACTGAATATGAAGTTGTCTTACATCAGTGCAGACCATTAGTTCATCCAGCTGAATAATGTCTCTACATAGAATTGATATTGACAATGATTCTATGGGGGATTGAGATGGGAAATTTTCTGAGCTCTGTTGAAAGATACTAGAAATTTAATTTGGATCTTCCTACACAAAAAAGCATGCTTTTTTCTCTAAACTGTTCCCTTCCTCCACTATTATAGTTAATATTTACACTGCCAAGTTTGAAGATTATATGGTCAAATTACAGCCAGTTTTTTAATTTGGGGTATGCCTTTTTAAAGTCTTCCTCTTCTTTCTTCCCCAAGTGCACTTTAATAAATTTACAAATAAACAAGCATAATGTCCTTACATTTGCAAGTACATTAATTCTCCCCTTCCTTTTATGGAATACTATGGATTGATAAAATACTAAATAAATAGGAAGCTGAACAAACACAGAAACCTCTAGGCTGAGAATGTTTTTTAAAAAATGGTTGATATAAGAAATAACCGTGACAGTTAACAGTTGATCATGATATGATCCTTTCTGCACAAAGTAATTTTCTTCTAGTCAAAACATTAATATATTATTTATAGTACATGGGAAGAAGCTGTTCCACAGTGACTGTCCAGAACAAGCCTACTTACTATTGGAAACCAATCCACTTATTGCCTATGATTATTTAAGGCACTTATAAAATTATCAATAAAAATGGATTATAAGTAGGTTGCAAGTAATTATCTGAACTGATAGAAGCAAAGCCAGGTTTTTCAATAATTCTGTGCAGTCATTTAGTGGTTACCTGGGTTCTTGCAGCCAGATAAGATAGCCTGTCTATAGAGCTACATGGTGAAAAAAAAATAATTCATACATTTTCAAATGAAGAATGTTTTGAAACATAGAAGCTGTCTATCCACAGATCCCCGTTTCTCTTTCTGTATAAATAGGTTACACATAAAGACTTGATGTATATGTTATCATGGATAGTCCTCGAGTGACTGTTCATTTTGTGAATGTTTGAAGTTATAACGGCAGTGAAAAAAGTTATTTATGACCATTTTTTACACTTGTGACCGTTGCAGCATCTCCATGGTCACATGATCAAAATTCAGATAGCAACTGACTCATATTTATGACGGTTGCAGTGTCCTGGGGTCATATGATCAGCCTCTGCAACCTTAAGAGCCGCAGGGTGCAATGGTTAGAGTGCAGTATTGCAGGCTACTTCTGCTGACTGTTAGCTGCCTGCAATTTGGCAGTTCAAGTCTCACCAGGCTCAAGGTTGACTCAGCCTTCCATCCTTCCGAAGTGGGTAGAATGAGGACCCAGATTGTTGTGGGCAATAGGTTAACTCTGTAAACCGCTTAGAGAGGGCTGTAAAAGCACTGTAAAGCGGTATATAAATCTAAGTGCTATTGCTATTGCTATTCTGACAAGCAAAGTCAGTGAGGAGGCCAGAATCACTTAACAACCGCGTTACTAACTTAACAATTGCTATGATTCATTTAACAAGAGTAGCAAAAAAAGTCGTAAATAAGGCAACTCACTCAACAAATGTTTCCCTTAGCAACATAAACTTTGGTCTCAATTGTGACCGTTAAGTCAAGGACTACCTATAGTTGATGCAGCTGCAACTTTCACAAGGCATGGTTGCTTCCTTTCTGCATCCATGTTAGCATGAACATTTTTTTTTTGCTGCATCTTTCTGATATAGGCAGCACTAATGTGGTTTCTGCTTAGCTGATCGGCATGTTAGTGATAACTTCAGTCTTAGACATCTTACTCGAAGGAAACAAGCAACTCTAAGATACTGATAATATATGAATCACAGTGAAGAGAAAAGGTATAATATACCTATTCATTTCACTAGAGCAATGTAATCCTAATAGATTAATGCAGAAGCATCTCGGAAATTTATCACTGTAACTCTGATGTTTGCATTAAATGAACAAAATAGGGCATCTTTTTAATATATATATATATATAATCTGTAGTATGAACAAAGAAATAACCTTCTTTCAGAAATAAGAAAGAAGTTATATTGTTTTGTGTTAATTCAAAAAGACCGCACAGATGCTTAAGGCTTACAACTTGATGAAAATAAAATGTACCAATTGTGTTCAGGATGTGGGTACAAAAAGAACATATAAATGTGGTTTCCCAAACAAGATAAAAAATAAACATACAGGCTATTTATGAAGATAGTTCAAACAAGCTGGTAGAAAAAAAAATCCAAACCCAACCTAAATAATATGTACATTTTTCTTTGTGCAGTTGAGCTGAAAATGGAGGAATCTGAAAATAAGGCATAAAGAATGGAAATCAAAAAAGGCAAATATTCAGAATTCAATTATTTAATTATGTCTGCTTTTGAAAATGGAAGGGGAGAGAGGGAATTTATATTTAAATATATACTTATCTCTTCAAAGATTCCTAAAAAGAGATAATGATAACTAATTCTGAGAACTGCCTATTATAAAACTAAAGATACTGAAATGAACTTATCTTAAAATAACAAGAATTGTACTAGAAAATACCAATGAAAGAAGACTACTCATTCAGTGACAGACAGTGTTTATTTCAAATCAGGTTTTGTGTATTACTTTGCATTAACATTTTCTAGCACACCGTAATGTACTACAACTTAATTTCTACTTGTGAAAATATCACAACCTCAAAGCTCTTGCATGTTATTGCTATTGCTTATGGAAGGGATTGTGACAGATAAACACCCTGAGTGGCAGTGAATCAATGCATTGCCAAATCCTAGAAACACAAAGTATAAAGTACATTTAATTTTGCCAAAATGCTTATTATGCTAATATGAAACCTATGCATCAATCACAAAACAAATGTGATCTTCATGAACAATGATTTTATGAGTTATATATTCTTCCACTAGGCCGTATCAGTTGGGAGTACCTTATATTCATCATAATCTTTCTCATCTAGCAAATTAATTTTGTCCAGTTCTACTAATTGTTCTGGAGTCGGCTCATCTGGCAAATTGCTGATGTCAGCTTGCTCATAAATTGGCTTTCCTTTTAAGAAGAGTTCCTTCCAGTCACGCATTAGCTTTGCAGGAATTAAACTGTGGAAATCAAGAAAAACAAATTGGTATTTAGTATGAAGGGAACATTCTTTTAATCAACGAAATTAATCAATAGTTAAATATGAAACATAAGAAATAATTCTGAAAAAAGGAAGAAATTATGTCAGACGAATTCTATTTAGACATAATGGCTCAATTACACGTTAGGAAGACCAGTTTTTACCCAAATTGACTTGGGAGTTGTTGTATATTGGAAATATGTTGGAATATTATTTTATATTCAAACTTTTAAAAACAAACAAATTGGCAGGAAATTGAAGTGACTGCAAATAATCATTGCTAAAACATATGCATCTTTTATGAATAGTAGTTTGGGAAAGGCTAGTTGCCTAGTGAATTGTAATGCTTTTTACAGTTCATAAACAAGATTTTTGCTCTTTTCTTTCCTCTCTTCCTCACCTGAACCTAAATTCAGTTTTGTTTCTTTTTCTCTTTCATACCTCCTTTTTATTCTTTCTTGCTACTGCTGAAAAGAATAAAAGGAGCATGTATCTGTATTTCTGTAAATTGGTCTGTATCTGTGTCTGAAAGTTGCTTGTGGTTAGTAATATTTAATAGCCTTAGTGTTAGCTAATAGCCTGGTGGCGCAGTAGTTAGAATGCAGTATTGCAGGCAAATTGTGCCCACAGTCTGGAGGTTGATCTTGACAGGGCTTGAGTTTGACCCAGTCTTCCATGTCAGTAAAATAAGGACCCAGATTGTTGGGTGAGATATGTTGACATTGTAAAAGCACTATGGAGCTTATAAATCTAAGTATAAGCTATTGCTATTGTATATATAAGAATGGTTGCTAATGAAAACATGGATACAATTTATAAATGTGATTCCTCATTCCCCCCTCTGGAGTATTTCCATTTTTGTTGTGTCAAAAAAAAGCAACTGTTAAATTTGGATCAATTCATGTTAAGCTCAAATAGTCAAACTGATCTCATTTTAGAATGGACATGGGTATTGTCTGTCAAAGTCTAATCTTAATATTTTTCACTTAAGAAAATTATTTCTTTATATATAAGGACACTATTTTGAATATGTGTATGGGGGCAATATTTGATCAGTAAAGTGATCAAAAAACAGATGGTCTCATCTGGAACTATTTTTATTTTACTAAGACTGTACAATTTGTGATTATTTGAACAAATGCATTAAACTGTTGAGTATATCTCAGCATAACATATCTAACAGTAGATAGGTATCTGTATACATATACTATAGTCTTATCATAAAAACAATTATACAATTAAATATTCTTTATCTGGTATTGACCTCACCCCTTTCCTAAGAGGTCTCTAGGAGGCGTGCATAAGCGCATCAACGTGCCTACCATCCCTGTCCTATTGTTTCTTTTATTTTTCTTATATGTACCCATTTCATGTATTCATAACTATGTATATACTTATACCTATTATTTTGTAAGCGATTGACAAATCAAATAAATAAATAATTTATATTTTACTAATGTTATACTGAGTATTAATTGCATAACTTAAGAAATAACTCATTCCCAACTTTTCAAACTGATAAGTAGCACAAAAATATCTTGGACAGACCTGTATGGTAGATATTTTTAAGGCAGCGTTTCTGTTTTGGCCACTTGAAGATATCCCAGAATTTCCCGCCCAGCATGCTTCTTCAAGAAGCCAAAGTTCTACACATCTGCAAGTGACCATGGCTGAGAAGTATTGCTTTAAGTTATCTAACTTATATGGAGCTGCAGGTTATGTATACACACAATACCCATTTTGGTGGCAGGAAATGCTGAGATGGAGTTCACCACTCTAATGGGTACCAACCAAAGGAAACTCAAGTTACAGTTCACTCTTTAACTTTCCTATAGCGTATTTAATTAAATGTTTATAACTCAGTTGACAGCATTCCATTAGAGTGGATTATAATAACTAATATTAACAGAAACAACCTAAAGAAAACAATGAGGCATAACTGCTTTTCTTCGTCCCAAAGTGTAGATCAATTTCTTAAAATTTCCACATGGTGAGCTCATGGGCAGGCTGTGGAGGACGTCTCAACAGATCTCAGCAATTGTTTCTATGTATTGAGTTCTCAAGCCCAAATTTTACTCAGGCTTCATTGCCGTTTTCTCATCAAGATGCCCGAGGATCAATTTCTGTATAGTTCACTTTTCCCAACATAGCCAAAAGGGAATGCAAAACCAAAACAAACAAAAAACAAAACTGTATATATCAGGGACTTACTTATTCGTCAGCGTTCTATATTCTCCTATTTTAGTTGCTAAATCAATTATTTGTTCAACCACCTCCCAGCAAATTTCATAATGCTTCTTATAGCGAGCCTCAGCTCTTTCAGCAGCAAGTTTTGCATGCAGTTGTTTTTCTCTAAGGGCCTGTTCTGCAAGTTCAATTTTTTCTTGTTTTGCAAGAGCCTAGAAGGAGTCGGGGGGGGGGAAAAACTGGTCAATTTCCTCAAATTGATAAGACAAGAAGTGAAATGTAGCACCAAAGCTCATTATCTAAATCTCGCAGTCATTATTAATAGTCCAGATAAATACATCTTATATAAATGGCCTTGTGAAGGAATGTCAGCTTGAGAAATCAAGGATTTAGAGATCAGCAATACTTTTTCTTGAGATCATGAGAGAGTTGAAAAAGATTCTTGAATGGCCTTAAGATTCTGGAAAAGGATGTCAATGTTTTAAAGAAGGCAAACACATACTATGTTTGTGCCCTGCTGTCTTTTTGGAATTATATCCAAAGCACTGCACAGCTCTAGCAAAAAATACTGGTTCAGAAATAGATTGCATCAACTCCAGATTAAATACTGGTATTGATCTAATATCCACCTGAACACATTTGAATAAGCATCGGAACATCTTCAGAATCTGATGCTATCAGTGTCAAAGTGAGGGTTGCAACATAAGCTTTGCTCATGATACATATGTGTGCAACATCATGGTGCACGTAAAAAGGGCATTGAGAATACATTACATATCCATTTTTTTCATTTGCTGCTCAACCCACACCTGCCATGGATACCCACTATAAGCATTTATTTTGCTCACTTAGTAGCTAAGTTAGTGTCCCAGCGGTAGATCTCTTTAAGAAACCTGCCAGGCACTACTGGTTCTATTTTGCAACAGCAAGGAAAGCAATCAGTGCAGTCCATCAGATCTGCATGAACATACAAGAACATTCTGGAGAAGAGGGACATACCATCAAATCCATATCTTGCAAACTAATGTGTCTGTGCAAAGCAAAGTATCAACTATTTTCATCCTCTGAAAGGACTGGACCAGGCAAGCCTCAAAATGTTGACTATACTTTCATCCACTAGTCATCTCCCTTCCACAAAACACATTGTGCAACCAGTGTGTTAACCCATTTATTCCACTGTTAACTAAAGTTAGAATTCTGCTAACTATATCAGTTGGCAGAAGAACAGGATGATCAGTCGACTGTTATTCCATTAATTTTTTGATTTGAGCTCCTCAAATTTGCAATAAATGTAAGAACCTAAATGAGGACACATTCTTCTGATTCTATAGCTTCCTATAGTAAGTCTCTCTGGCACGCAAGAGAATTGTGGCCTCTAGTGGATGTTCCTATCATTTCAAACGAAAATTTGGGTGGCTTCAAAAGGACCATTTATATGGGACTGAACTGTATTGCAACTACATACAGATAGTCATCGACATACAACAGTTCATTTAGTGACCCATTTAAAGTTACAATGGCACTGAAAAAAGTGACTTGTGACTTTTCACGGACCTTTGTAGCAGCACTATGATCATGTGATCAAAATTGAGATGCTTGACATACTGATGACTTTTGCTATGTCCCAGAGTCATGTAATCACTCTTTGTAATCTTTTGACAAGCAGTCAATGGGAAGCCAGATTCACTTAACAACCATGTTACTAACTTATCAACTGCATGATTCACTTCACTGTGGCAAGAAAGGTCATCAAATGGGGTAAAACCCACTTAACAAATGTCTCATTCAACAGTATAAATTTTGGGCTCAATTGCAGTCATAAGTTGAGGACTATCCGTATGTGGAAGTGAATCTTCGTTGAACACTGTGAATGAAATCTTTCAACCTCTTTTGAAGGATGAAAAAGCTAACTTTTTCCAGAAGAATAGCACAAGCTTCACAGACACTGTCCAGCAATCTTCTCGTATTACGTATATTTCATTCTTTGGGCTACGGCTACTATTGCTGCATTGCAGAAAACTCTTCTAGCTGCCATCAAATCAATGTTGGCATTTTTTTCAATCCAGGTTCATATATGTCATTAATATAGACACCAGCATATTGAAAGTCTGATGCTTAGATCAACTCCTGGGAATAAACTTGACTGAACTTAAAAAGCAATGACTTTGCTCCCCCCCCCCCCAAATGGTGGGTTTTTTGTGGCCAATAATGGACCCCATATTTCTTCAAGACGAAGAAATATAAAAGTAAATGCATGCTAGAGATATTTAAAAATCAAAAACAAACTGTAAGGGTTTAGAGGAAGACCTCAACTTACAACTGTTTAAAGTCAAAATGGACCCAAATTTGAAGTTCTAATGGTTGCCTGCCTGTGGTCATGTGACTGAGCTTTGGGTGCTTGGCAACATGGCCACATTGATGGACATTTGCAATGTCCCATGGTCATATAATCACACTATTTGGTGGTTTTGATAAAAAACCGGCACTTAGAGAGGGAAAATGCAAGAGAGAAAAATACAGTAACAAAGAAGCCAATAATGACTAGCTACCTCTTCCCTATCGAGAGCTTCTTGAAATTCTTTGAGGCGTCTTTCCTCAAACTGCTTTTCTCTGTAAATTCTGTTTTGCCACAGGACTTCTTTCTCATGCCTCACATGCATAAGTTGAACAGCTATTCTCCGCTCTTGCTGGGATTGTCTCATAAGTCGGTTGACAAGCTGCTCTTCTCTATAGGCCTCCTAAAATAATAAAGACATAATAGTAACATAATGTACAGCTTTTGCTAGAAACTGGGAGACCATGAGTGTAGTCCTACTTCAGGCACAAAGCCTGCTGGGTGACCTTGGTTGGTTGTTTCCTCTCAGCCCTAGCAGTACAAATGATCTTTTGGGAATAAACTCGATTTAATTGAAAGGGGTTTACTTTCAGGTAAAGATGAAACAAGTTACATAGTATCATCAATTGACCACTTGTGGGTTAATTAACTTCAGTTTATTTTTAAGGGCTTCTGGATTAATAAATTAAAGGTATTGTTAAAAATGTGTTGTGGTCCACCAGCGGCCTGCGGAGCTGGCAGCAGAGTCGGACAGTGGGAAGGAACATGGGCACGTTCTAGAGTCTGGGGAGGGCTCGGATGAGGGATCTCCATCTGACACAGAGATGGGGTCAGGACCATCTGAGAGTTATGTGCTGACTCCGGAGCCTCCAGAATCTGACATCAGCAAGGCAGAGGAATGGGGGAGCCTGTTCCCAGCGCACACTTGCACAGAGCTGCCAGAAGGCAAGAACAATTAAGACAAAAAGGGCAACTGGAGTAAGATTGGCCCCTCCCATAAGACATAAAGGAGGAACAAAGGGATGTGAACCTTTGCAGGAAACAACTTTTGTTCATTCTGGTCGGTTAAAATCTGAAGCTCCATGTTGACTTTGTGCTCCCTTTGGCCTGGTACAGCTAATTGGCAATTTAGTCGTTGGCAGGATTTCAAAGGATATAAAGGTGGGTGCTTATCAGCCTTATCCCGAAGGACTGTGACTGTGGTTGGACTATTCATAAACTGTTTGGAACTCATTATGGGCTCATTATGAATGCATATAATTCACAGTTGTTGAAATAATTAAAAAAAGGGAACAGCGTGTGATTGTTACTGTCTCAGAAAGCCTTGGTCAGAAGAAGGTGCTAGTAAAAATGGATGATTGGCCATCAGCAATTCTTAAGTCTCAACAGTCCTGATGCACTCATAAAATCAGGGTATCACCTATCAAGATGCTATTTTTAAATTTGAAGAATTTGCCTTGTCTTTCATTTTTAGTTTTTTTTACAGTTCCAGATTTTATACTTTTAGTATCATGCTAGGTTTTCTTTAAATCTAGCACTATGCTTAATATTAAAGTCTGATCCAGAGGTTAAAAAAAAGGTGCTTATTATTTTCACTAGTAAAGGTACAATTTACTTCATTCTCCAAACAGGTTTCATAATAGCTTTTACTTTTCATGTCTTTTCAAACTGGTTAATTCACAACAGTATTAATGCCTCATCTAAAAAAATCAAAAGGCAGCATATCTAACTCACTTCTTGTGCTTCATGAGCTATGAGTTGCTCCCTTAACATCTTTCGCCTTCTCTTCTCCCGTTGTTCTCGAGCAAAGGTATCCTCCTCAAGACGTTTCTGAATTTTCCTAATATATTCATCATCTGAGTAGGTGTTCAGTAGCTCAGTAATGACTGGTTTTGTCGTAGCTAGTTCTTGTGCCTGCTTTATTGCATACATCATGCTAAGAAAATAATATGGGGCATCTGGTGTTATAGGTTTTACACAACGAATTAAACAAACAGTTTCTTAGCTGTTGCTTTATATTGCATTATATTATTATTACTATTGCATACTTTTCTTTTATATTTTATAATATACTAGAATATTTACAACACCATCAATGCACATGCAGATAGGCCTAGACTTACATTTGTAACTGAGTTTGGCAATGACAGTCACGAAATTGTGACAGTCATAAAGCAGGTAACCACATGACCAGACCCATTTTGATGAACTTTTCTGCAGCAGTTGTTATGGGAACCCATTATTCACTATGATTTTTGTCGGAAACCAGAAGTAAAGACCAATTTCTGGCAAAAATATAAATTGTGGTAATTTGATTGCCAAATGCTGCAAACGGCCATCATTTTGGCCATGTGCCCAAAATGCGATCAAATAATCTTGTGGGGTGGGCAGCCTCAGAATTTTAGAAACTAGCTGTACATCCGTTTTGGGGGGAGCAGGTCTTATCACCAAGTGACTGGTCATAAGCCAAGGACAACCTATATATATGTCAAAGTATCACAAGCATAGGATGGCTTTGGAATCCTTTTTCCATTTTTTTTTTGCAGATAACCTGGCCACTTAAAAAAATAATAATTAAACAAACACACACAAAAAAAGAAAAAAAGGACATTAAAAACAATGGACATGGTGCAATCATCCTAATCCACATAGTTGTCTTACATCACTAAGTCATATAAAAATAATACGTATTTACATTCTGTGTACATAGTAATGAAGCCCCAATCTGGATTAAGACTTCATGATTTAATCCCTTTAACCCCATAATCTCATGGTCCTAATTTGGAATATCTCCATATCTACAGCAGTGCTGGAGAAAAGATCTGATGGAGGATAGAAAAGAAAAACAGTAAAAGAAAGAAAACTTTTCTTTTCAGCTCTACTTTTGAGAGCTTTGTGGGCTCCTTCCTTTCACCAGTCTTCTCTCTTCTGTGCTAACTGGGGGATAACAAGTTAACTATCACCACACTGCTCTTCTATTAAGACTGCATATTTTGGCAGAGATCTCATGAACTCTACTTGTGGGATCAACGTATTTGTAAAAATAAAACTGCCAGGCCATATTAAGTATAAGTACAGTCACGGTAGAAGAATGAAACTACTATCAATGTCCACAATATCATTTCTTCCCTGTGCATTTTGTAGTATTAAGTGCCCAGAGTGATTTAAGATTTTCCATAATCTAGTTGTTGAAGTCAGTTCTCTCCAAAATGTTAACTGAAATGTTATGCCCTACTCTTCACCCCCATGAGACAATCAGCTGATAAATGAAGTATGTGCTGACATTTCAACTGCAGTAACTGTGAGAGGGATCTTAGAGTCTTAGTGGACAACCAGCTAAATACGAGCCAGCAGTATGCAGTGGTAGCCCAAAAAAGTCAACGCAATCCTAAATTGCATTAACAGAAAGATACAATCGAGGTCAAGTGAGGTACTAATACCACTCTATAAAGCCTTAGTAAGACCACACCTAGAGTACTGCATCCAGTTTTGGTCACCACACTATAAAAAAGATGTTGAGATTCTGGAAGGAGTGCAGAGAAGAGCAACCAGGATGATTAGGGGATTGGAGACTAAAATATATGAAGAAGGGTCACCAGAACTGGGCTTGGCTAGTCTAGTAAAGAGAAGGACCAGGGGAGACATGATAGCAGTCTTCCAATATCTGAGGGGCTGCCACAGAGAGGAAGGGGTCAAGTTATTTTCCATAGCACCCGAAGGCCAGACAAGGAATAATGGATGGAAACTGAACAAGGAGAGATTTAACCTGGAAATAAGGAAAAACTTTCTGACAGTGAGAACAGTCAACCAATGGAACAGCTTGCCCTCGGAAGTCGTGGGAGCAGCATCACTTGAGACTTTCAGGAAGAGATTGGACTGCCATTTGTCAGAAATGGTGTAGGGTCTCCCATTTGGGTGGGGGGTTGGACTAGATGACCTATAAGGTCCCTTCCAACTCTGATTATCTGTTAACTGCATGGAGAAATATGACATATTTCCAGTGAAAAATGAAATTATGGATGGTAGCATATCTTTTCAGCAGCTTTATGTCAATACAATAGTACAAATACAGCATATTTAACCACCTGCATGACTGAAACAAAAGCTTATTAATAGGTTGTTTGGCAAGTGGAAGGGTGTTTTAACAGGTAATCAGAGTTTCTATTTCCACACAGTCCAGCAGAAAAACAGAGCAAATTTACTAGAAGTAATGTTACCTCTCTGTGAGTTTGGCAGGTACAACAGCCTCTTTCCTCATTTGTTTTTCAAAGTTCCTAATTTCAGTGTACGTTGTCTAGAAAAAAGTAAGCATATTTTAATTCATTCCTTGGGTTTAATTCTTTATTGCATCTCATTATAAATTAACAAGATGTCCCAAGCAGAAATGCACTGCGCCATGGGATTTCCACTGTTCAAAAGATGTTTGTTAAACAAAAAATATGGGGTTGTGCCAGTAAGCTTAGTAAAGCGCATTGGAGCTTCATTAAGTTACATCATCCATGTGCTGTGTGAGTCTGAAAGTATTGCAAACTTTTAAGTGATTAGATGAGAACCAAGGAAAATATTTCTGTAAATATATTGATTTAATTTGTATTGCACCCATTAATTACTGTTCATCTTTAAGCAGACAAGTGAAATAAGAAAATAAAACAATAGCCACATAAACAAATGGAACAATGAACAACAATGGTTAATTGAAATATGTTTAATTATTAAGAGTTTAATATCCCCTCACCTCTTGTTCCTGAACAGAAAAGATTCAAGAACATGAGTTTTATACCACTTTTTCTCCCCACCAGAAGTGTCCATTGGGAAGATTACAAAAAGCAAGATGGTGGCTGCAGTTGCATGATTGCCCCACTCATTTTTAAATGCTCATTTTTATTTATTTATTTTATTTAGAAAATTTATATTGCTACCTACTTGCACATGGCGATTCAAGGCAGCTTATTATGCTCCATATATACTCCATACACTGATATTTTTGCTTCCAAGAGCAGCTTTACTCCCTAACAAATGCAGTGCAGCAGGAAAAGCAGTAATGCAACCATTCCAGATAAGAATATCCACACATTATCTCAACAAGATCCTACTAAAGCAAGTGAATACAATAAAACATAATATGTTCACCCAAATAATATGAGTTCTGCCATATGTATGTATGTATTTATGTATGTAGGTATGTATGTATGGTATTCAGCTTTGTTCGGGTATTTTCCCACGTCATTATAGTTGTGCTATTTAAAGTTGTAGCAACGTTTTGGCAGAATCTCACCTGTCATCATCAGGCCTGTGTATTGTGTTCGTCTGTGAGTCAGGCTTTCACAGCTGTTTCCATTTTAAATTTGGTACTAGCCTACTGCTGTGTTAGAATGGTTTTCTCTTCATCCTGATTGGTTGGGAGTTTTGGTCTGTGTTTATTGGTCTTGGAGTTTGCTGTGTTCTGCTTGATTAGTGTTTCTAATATCTTCTGTCTGTTTTGTAGCATTTTTTTATTGGTTGGCAATATTGTGTTTCCTGCATTGGAGGCTTTCAGTGTGGCTTGGCTTCGGGTAAAATGATGGCTATCATTTATTAGGAAGCTAGGTTTTATCTGATATGAAGTTGAATCCTTAAGATGAATATGCTTATGAAATTGTGTCTGTATGGAAATGTGATAACCTGGAACGATGCTGTACTCAAATAAGATGTTTTATTTGTTTTGTTAAAACTCAATAAAACTTTGTTAAAAAAAAATACACAGGCCTGATGATGGCAGGTGAGATTCTGCTGAAACGTCACTACAACTTTAAAAGCACAACTATAATGACGTGGGAAAATACCCAAACAAAGCTGAATACCATACATATAGATACCTGTGAAAACTTAAGAAAACTTAAGAAAAGATATTTATACAGTATTTATATATAACTACAAAATCAAGGGACTATGTCTGTTCTGCTGTCTTAGGAACAGTGCATGTTATTCCCAAAAACATTTTGAAAGGGAAAGGGGAAGATGGAGGACAGCAGATTACGCTGAATTTTAACATGTCAGTAAGGCAAATTCTAACAACCTCTTTCAGTCTAGACTTAACTGCTGTCTGCTGGTGGAAAAATTATTGGTGTGACATTACTGGAGTGATAGGGTTACATTTTTGGAAGTACACTATGTGTGGGTATTTTGGGGGGTGGGGTGGGGATAATTAGGTGGTACTGTGCAACAAATTCAGTGCCTCTGCAAGGTTTAAGGTGTATTTTGCCCCCAAATCTATCCAACCCCCCACAAAAAGCTTGAAAAATTCAACCCTAAGGATGATAAATAGAATGGTGAGGGGCCTATGCAGCCTGCTGATTACTTACTCATAGGATATAAGGAGCCATTGCTTTTAGCAATCACAGATTTACACCTTTAAAGTAATTCTAAATAAGGATTGCTCAGCTAAATTCTGAAAAAAAACAACCACCTTTCTCTAGATTTATATTTACTCCTGTCTAACTGAAGGGATATGTATGCGTTAAGAATGTTTCTTCCCCTGGATATTTATTATGAAGAAAAAGAAAAAGGGATGAATTTCCAACTCTGCATCTAATGATCTGAATTCCAATTATAGGGAGCTACTACAGCATTTTTCCCCCATTTGCACCTAACTGCAGTGCAAAGTCCTTATGATGATGATTTATCTCATTCCCACCTATATGTGAGCCACTGTAAAATGTCTTTATCTGCTCACTGTTAAAATATTATTTTCCCACTAAATACTGAACAAACTCTAGCAGTTTTACATGGTGTAGTGTAAGACAGAGGTTGCCAATCAGCGAGAAAATTTTGGTGGGCCACAGAGAAATCTCATCCCCAGAGCACCCCCCCCAAAGCAATTAATCCAGGCTGTGCAGAAACACAAGGCTGCACGGCCCACATGGCCCGTGGGAACCCTCCCCGCCCACTCACTCCTTACCTGGCAAACTTACCTGCTAAATTGCTATTTTTCCTTTTTCTGACCATCTGCTGTTCTGCTGTGATTTAGAATAGCTAGGAAGCAGGAAATGGTTGGATTTCTTGCTTTCTATCTAGTCTTTAGATCTTCGGCTCTGCTTTTAAGCATAGCTGAACCTCCCTTAGGACTGAAGGTTCAATGATTCAGTGAAGACACATGGCAAGCAAATTTTATGTGACAGACTGAGCTAGCCGATGGCAAACAGATAGATCACTGAATGATTCTGGGAGCAACTCAATCTGCCTGCCTGCTTTGCCTGATTTTGGGTAAAAGTTGTTCTTTTTCTATAAAAAAATCAATATTTACATACATGATGTGTTGTGAGTTAATTTGTGAATTTGCTTACTAGAAAATTTTATGTGACAGACTGAGCTAGCCGATGGCAAATAGATAGATCTCTGAATGAATCTGTGATCCTGTGAGCAACTCAATGTGCCTGCCTGCTTTGCCTGATTTTGGGTAAAAGTTGCTCTTTTTTATAAAAAAAATTCAATATTTATATTTACATACAAACCATGCCCAGACAGTCACATGACCACCAAGCCACACCCACAAATTAGACCACGCCCACAGAACCGGTTAGTGATCCCTGGGATTTTAAATTATGAGTTTGGTGGTCCCTGAGATCCAAAAGGTTGGCAACCCCTCGTCTAAGAGACCTCATTGAATATTTTGCAGGGTTTCAATGAGGCAACTGCAGAGAGTGAGATTAGCTCAATCCTGCGGTTATTTTTAGCAGGCAGGGGCACTCTCTTCTCCCTTGAACTCTTGAACACTGTAATCTGAGGCCAATCTTCTTTGGCAGTGGGAAAATCAGGTTCTTTCAGATCAGCTGATCCCCTATAGCTGCCAGGTGCCTGAGCTTAGCCCTAGAACCAGATGATCTTGACTCTTCCCTGGACCCATTTCCTTCTCACATCAAGGAGAGAGATTTGTGGAAGAATTCCTGCTGGTAGCTGGCATTTAGGGGACGGGAAGGAAACATAGCAGAGGCAAACTATCCAGACTTGTCTTTAATGTACCCTGAACATCATAAATAATCATAGCACCTATTCCTAGCATCATGCCTTTGGCATGATAGGGATGTCCATTGAGCAGAACAAATGATATACCAGTATATTCTTCCATTGGCTTAAGAACTGATGGAAGGCATTTTAATTTGATTCTCAGGAAGAATCTCTGGTTATCTATTTCACAGTTCATAGCATTGTTTTGAAGATTCTTTTCCATGTATATGGTGGTGTCTGAAGGCGGGAGGACTTCAAAACAGGAAAAACAGCATTTGTGGCAGCGCGATGGTAGTCCTGCCCTTTTATACAATGTCAGTATATACAAAATTGCCATCTTTCCTGTTTTAATTCCCTCTGCAGAAGCTACTTCATGCACAAGTTTATCAGACCCCATTATTATTAACAAAATATAATGTTGCACAATGAAATACTTGTGTTTAAAAATGAATGCATTTACATTAAGACACAAGATAATCAAAATATGTAGTACATGCTGTTGCTTGTGCATTCTTTAAATGACCATAAAAACTCGTAACTTACTTCTGCTTCCTTCTTCTTCTTCTGCAGTTTTTGGTCTTCAATCGCTTTGTCAGTATGCTGTGGCAATGGTTTTGGAATCTGGATAACTGCTGCTTGAATTTTGGCCATGATTTCATTCTGCCTGCGTTTTTCTGCAATTTTCTAAATATTCAAGGGGAAAGATAGTAATTTGTTTTAAATTGGTTACTGAATAAATCTTAATCACACAGAAGCACTTTTAAAACTCCTTTCTCACTCCTATGGTGATATGTATCTTCCTCAATTTGGGATCCTCTCCCAGAGCACTAGGAATTTGAGAATTCTGTGCAATCCTAGTTATTCCTAGCACTGCACTCTTCTGGATAGAGGCATTGATCCTGGCATCTGTTGGAGCCACTCTCCCAGCTTAGGAGTCATGGTCCCGAAGGCTCTATCACCACTGGGACCATTTTGGCCTTTACTTCCCACATTCTAATTTTTCCTTTAGTCCTAGTATTTCTCCAGCTTCTGCTACTCCTTCTTCCTGAAGATATAGCTGCTACATCTATCACCACTATTGTCTTCTGGTCCATGTCTACTACCATGATGTCTGGCTGATTGGACAGTATCTGCTGTCTGCCGGATTTGGAAATCCTGCAGGATCTCAGCCCTCCTTTTCTCCAGTACCTTCTGTGGGATCTCCCATCTGGACTTGTGGGATCTAGCCCATGCTGATGTTCCTGTACATAATGCCAGCTACTTGGTTGTGCCATTCAGTGTATGCTGTTCCTGTCTTCATCTTATACCCTGCCACTATGCAGTGGACTGTTTTTGAAGTCTTTCTGCATAGATCCTGTCTAGGGTGCTGGACCACTATGGATCTGGTGCTTAGTGCCTGTTCTTGTGCTGCTGCAATCAGTGCCACAGTGCTGTCTTTTAATCCGGCTCTTGTAGTCACTAGTGGGATTTTTTAATATCTACCACCTTAGCTATCTGTCAATTACCATCTTATTTAGTCTTGCTTGCCATGGCACTTCCTCTGCTTGATATCTGCTGCTGCCTCAGACATTCTCTCAGAGCTCATCTTTGGGTGCCATCTTACTGATGCACTTCTGGATGTTCTGAGTTTTGTCCAGGAAAGTAGCTTTAACACTCACCAGTCTCACTCAGATAAATGAGTGCCATTCATTCATTCATTCATTCATTTATTCATTCATTCATAATAATAATCTAATAAGGCTAGGGAGAGGATTATTATTGTTACCTGTATTATTACTACGAAGATGAAGCTATGGATATGTGGGTGCAGAAATAAAATTTTACAGTAGGGTTACACAATTTTAACGCCAATTTTAATATGATTCTTTCACATACTTAATAATTTTAAATATTATCCTGTTATCACATAAAAACTCTATGGGATTCCACCAGCTTCAAGTCTCTCCCCTCCTATTCAACATCACCATGAAGCTGCTGGATAAGATTGTCCAGTGCCATGGGGTGTATTGATGATACCCAATTATGCCTGTCTATCTCTGACAATTTAAATGATACTGCTGATATCCTAACCCAGTGCCTGAGATCCAGACGGGGAACAACAGGTTTTAGCTGAACCTTGGCAAGATTGAGTGGCCCTGGGTTTTATAGACTATGCCATCTTTGGTTCTGCACAGGGTTACACTGCCCCAAATAGACTAACCACATAATTTGTGGATCTTCCTAGACACCCAACTTCTGCTCAAAGAGGAAGTGACAGTCATGTCTGGGAGATCTTAGCACAGCTTCATATTGTGCATTCATATGCTTCATATTATCTCTCTTCCTGGACTGGGAGGCTCTGATCACAGTCACTCATGTGCATCCAGTTCCTCCCATAACCCATGATAGTTTAAAGCGTATCTAGGTGTATCTCTTGATGCATAAATCTATGTGCATGCTAACTCAAAATAATCAAGTGACTATTTATGATTGCAATTTGTGTAACGTTGTCCAATATCCTCTGGTAAATGACACCATTCACTCTGCTTTTAATGGCATAGAATACAATCTTAATCCAAAGGTGCTTTTTCAAAAGGCAACTGGACTTCCTTTGTTTTTGCTTGAAATTGTTTTGCTTTTCATCCAAGAAGCTTTTTAAGTTCAGAAATGAAGAAGCTTCTTGGCTGAGAAGCAAAACGTCTTCAAGCAAAGACAAAGAAAGTCCAGTAGCCTTTTGAAAAAGCATGTTTGGACAAGCAGGATTGGATGACTGAAAATCTCCATAGACAATACAATCTTAACTACTACCACTTTTCTTAAGTCTTTCTCTATACACCATTCTTTCCCATCTTTGGCCCTTCAGATGCATAAAAGCTGCAAGCTTTAGAAAGTCCAATCAGCCAGGCAATTATTTTTTTTAAAGAATTCTGGGACATGTTGTTCTGCCATTTCTGGAGGGGCATGAGAGTGATGGAAATAAAGCTATAAACACCAATTTACTAATACACATGGCCTCTGGTTAACCACAAAGCAGGGAATGAAGGTATCGTGTAGCTGGGTCAGAGAAAGAAATCTGCACTCACCCTTTCAAGCTCTTCAACCTTTTTTTCCTCCTGGATCTGTCTGGCCTGCTGTTGCTTCACAAATTGCATACCAACCATTTTACTTTCCAGAATCTTGACTTTGTTTTGAAAGCTTTCTGAAATTTGTTGGAGTGAGAGGTCTGCCTGGCGGGGTACTAGTGTTTTGAGTCTCTGAAATGAAATGAGACAGATATATACATACAAACGTATATATGACACATGAAGATGCATAAGAATCTGGTTTGTCCTGGACTGGTGGATTTAATCCATTCTAGAAGAGCTCACCTATGCTTCCTTTTCCGAAGAGAGAAATTTTACTGGAAGAGACCAAGACTTGAGACATGCACAGGGGAGTTCATTTTTTCACAAGGCCACATTGCTTGTGAAGCACCTCTTCATATTGCTCTTTAGTGAAGAGAAGTGGCCCTTACAGGCACTACTAGGAGCTGCTTCCTAAGCAATCATGCCTAGAAAATTCTACGGTTGATTTAATAATTTAAGGAGCTCTTCCAAACAGCTTTTCTGTGCTGCAAAGTGCCTCGTCTGAAGGATCGTCAAAATCACATTAACTGTATGGGCCTTCTTCCATATGGTAGCTTCTAGATGTGTTGGAGAATGGTTCCTATTATTCTCACCAGTATCATTAGTCATGCAGATGGCGAATTCACAGCTTTGTAATACATCAGGAAGGTACTTGGAGTTGTAGTGAATACAGTATGTCGACGAGGTATCAGATTGGAAAAATCTACATTGAGCATCAATAATTCTCAACAATTATAAGCTACAGAGTTCTTTTATCTCTAGTTGGAGATGCTGGGACAGTATTTGGCATTTTAATGCTCTAGTTTTATTTCCTTCTCTTCCCAATCACAAGAATCTGAGAAATTTTATCAATACTCCAGGAACATTCAATTGAATTATGGTATTTTTTAAGTAACTGATTGTGATTGTTTTAGAGCCCAGATTAGCTCAGGTAAAGTATATAATACAGCAAAAGAGAAAAAAAGAGAACAGGCTTACGTGTGAAAAAGATTCCAATTGTAAACTTGGCCTGAAAGATGCAATACAGGCAGTCCTCAACTTATATCCATTTGTTTAGTGATCATTCAAAGTTACAATAGGACAGAAAAAAATGACTTATGACCTTTTTTCACACTTACATCTGTTGCAGCATCCCCATGGTCACGTGATCAAAATTTGGACACTTGGCAACTGGCATGGATTTGTCAAATGTCCTGGGGTCATATGATCACCTTTTGCAGCCTTCTCAGAAGTAAAGTCAATGTGAAGTCAGATTCACTTAACAACCATGTTACTAACTTAATAACTATAGTGATTCACTTAAGAATTGTGGCAATAAAGGTTGTAAAATGGGGCAAAACTCAACAACTGTCTTGATTAGTAATGGAAATTTTGGGGTCAACTGTGGTGGTAAATTGAGGACTACCTACAAACTTAATAATTTTTGCCTTAATGGTGAGACTACAACCTGCTTAGAGGGAGCAATAATGTATGTGAAGTGAGGGAACATATGTTCTGAAAAATGCATAGCACCGATCTCTTTATTTAATTTTCTGGGCCTACGGCCTGGCTTCAACTTTATACAACAGCTCTTTGTTTCAAGACTGAAAATGTAAAGAGCTGTGAAGATACCCATTGGGAGAAGATAAATAAAAGAATTCGGTTGTAATTAAAGTATCAGTTTTCTCCAGTGAACCAGTTATGACGGGAAGCAACTTTGAGAAATTCCCAGAGGTTTAAGCCAGTGGTACTATGAATCCCCATACGAATCAACACTGTGGAACTTGTTTGGTCCAGTGGAAAGCCTTTTTTGTGCTCCCATTCTTTATATGTGCAATAAAATGGACCCAGAGTATTGTTGCAAATTATTAAATAGAGGTGTTTACCTTCTGCAACTTGGCAGTAATTAATCCAAGATGTTTTTTTTAAAAAAGTAATCATGTTTAAGGGGTTGGGTTTTTTAAAAATTTTTGTAGCAGCATAGTTTTTTAAGAAGGTGAAAACATTTAAACCATCTTAAACTACCATGCAAACCACTAAGAAAGACAGCAGCAAAGTTTAACAAAATCTCTTTGTGAAAGGCAATCTCAACACACCTTTGAAAAGAGTTAGAGGCTAGCTTACTAAGAGGGCATTTCTAATGAGAACAGCCTGGTCTCTATGGCGACTTGCCTATGAAAATAAGATGAGAACTGGAAATATGTCTTTTCATTTTTTTATTCAAAATCTAAAATATAGATGAACAGACCAGAATATATATTCCTTCCAAATATATAAAGCCAATTGGGTGATATTGGGCCAGTTACTCCCTCTCAGCCTAATCTGCTTAACATAGTTGTTGCGGAGATAGAACTAGGAGGCAGGAATATGGTGTTACAGTGGCCCCAACCTTTGGGGCACCAGGGACCAGTTCTATGGAGAGAAGTTTTTCTGCAGACAGAAGGGGATGTGGTTTTATGTGCTGCCTGCATCCCATGGATGAAGCTTCACTTGTTTGTGCGGGCTGATATCTGGCATGCCACTGCCCAGTGCTGGTCCACAGACCGCGGATGGGGACCCCTGCTGTATTAGGTCTGTTTGCCACCTTCACCTTAAGTGCAATTCCAACTGAAGCATCATTTGAACACCATTGGCATTGACATTTGATACCATCAGTCAATTGCAAAAGGCAGCTTTACCTGGCACAGTTTACATCCTGCAACTATAACACTATGGAACAACAATATCTACCTATGCCAGGTCTCTGGGAAGATTCAATAGATGGATAAAAATGCCAAATCCAATACAAACATCTGATTGACTACATGTTGAACTATAACAATAATATAATATGTGTCAGAAGCTTTCAGGAGTGGGATACAATATAAGCACTATTAATTAACAATTAAAACACTGCGCTCTAGACTTATGGATGAAGTGGCCTAAACAGGAACTGTACTGTATATTTATTTGATCCTCACTCATTTCCAAAAGGAGTAAATAGAAAGGCAATGCTTTGTTGACAGAAATTCACCAATAAGAAAGGTGTCCTAACAGAAAGAAACTCACCTCACGATATATTTCGGTTCCTACACTTTTAAGCTTTGCATTTGCTGAAGGTCGCATTGCATCCATGGCAACTCCAGTGAGCCCTGCTTTTTTCTTTTTCTCTAGGGCCACATACAATTGGTACACAAGTTTGATAGCAGCTCCATGCTGCTCTGTCATGATGTTTCGGGCTACATTTTGGTCGAACTGTACACCCAGAAGTTGAAGGGTGGGCTCCATGCGAGAAAAGTTGTTGAGTTTTGCATTGGCAAGCCTGTTGAGACAATATAAAAAAAATTCTTAATATGTAGAATATGTAAAACTTTCCTGTGAGTTCATCTGCAAGCCTAATACCCTTCAAATAAGCCTCATGTGGTATGGTAGCAATGGGACTAAGCAACGTCAGAACTCAAACACACGCCTGGTTTTCAGATTTAATCCCAGTAAAATCGATGTTTCTTAATTTAGTTTTAATTGCTTATAAAATCAATTGCTTATACAATCCATTGGAATTTAATATGTTTAAGTGGCAGCTTCTAGCCAAACTTACTTAAAAAGCTAGGTAGGATTAGACTCCGTCACTATTTGGAGTGGAATGGACTACCAAGGGATATTACGGTTGTAAACTAGAATAAGGGGGGGGGGGAATCCCTAAAGTCAGTACCAAACAATATTGTGCTCTTGCTGTGAAAATTACATAAAGTTCTCCATGTAGTCATCAGAAATCTAGTGTGACTCAAAGGAGACTTTATCATTATACCATACAGTAATTTATTTGCACACTATGAACGTGGTCAACAAGTCCACGGCCCATCAAGGCCACTGTTCCATGTCTCCAAACTAATCCATACAGGAATCTAAAAGCAGAACAGAATCTTGCCACTGCATCTGAGGTGACATAAGCAGCCATATTGTGTCTGAAATTGGTTACTATGACTAGTTATCTGGTGACACAAGTTAACAACTTTTTAATCTATCACTTAGTATGATATGAAAACCAGTACCTTCAGAATCTGCCCAATTATGAAATGTAAGTCATCATCTTGCTATAAGGCTTGACATCAGAAATTACCATTGTCACGCACCTCCTGAATTTCATAACTGAATCCAACCACTCCTTAATCTTCATGCTGTCCTTCTTATTTGGACTGCTTATTCACCTGATGTCTCCAACCAAGCAATGGTAAGAATACAAAGCATACCAAACTCTACTCTTATTAGTATTCTCCCTTTATATACTGATGGAAATATATTGGAGTAGGGATGGGGAATTTATTGGCTTTCAGATGTTACTAATCTTCGGGCCCTGCCCCACTATCCAAAATTGCCAATGTAGAATTTATCTGTCCTGCATCACCTTCACTAAAAGTGGCTTGTAAAGTCAGTCTTTTCAATTCCAACCCAAAAGCTTAGAGACAGTTCCAGAAAGTGTTTTCTTTTAAAGCAGAAGCAACTATATGGGGGGGAAATGCACACTTCTGCCTTGCTGGTTCCTTGCAGATTACAGCCACCTCTGTGATAATTCTGGGGACACGAGTATAAACAAGGTATTCTTTTTATAACTTTTAACAAACATTGGTCAGTCTGGCTATGGGTGCTGATTATTGTAGTTCAGAAAAGCTGGGCAGGAGACCACGCAATCTTTTTCTGTTTCAGTGGAAAACTGACTGGGCAATGGCAAATATGGGAATGAAGGAAAAATTCTATATAAAAAATGGGAAGGGGAACTGCAGAAATTCGCACCCTGTTCTCCAATACAAGGAAGTGTTAATTGAGCCTACTGTAATTTAATTATGATATAGTATAGAGTAAATCGGAACATTGTTAGAACAGTATTAATACTACCCACCTGCTTTGTGAAAACTGATCAAAATCTTCCTGAAGTTCATACTTGTTTAGAAGTTCTCCAATGAGATAACCAGAAGAAAATTCTCTGGCGAAAGATTCTGCGTCTGATTTAATTTCCAAAGGAAAAAGGAAAGTATTTTGTTTATAAGTTGCAATTCTTCGCATTTGATGCATAACCAACCATTATTATCATGATGTACAGTATAACAATCCAACTTATCTTTAATGGATTTATATGTCTTGATTGATGTTTTTGTTTCTGTTTGCTGCCCAGAATTCCCAGGCATATGGGCAACTATATACAATAAACAAACAAAGCAAAGAAACAAACAAAATATAGTTCATCAAAAAGCAGTGGTTTGCTTGTCACCATGTTAATTAACATGGAATTAGTCTCCTTTGAATCTTCCAATAGATTTATGGAAATAGCTAGTGGAGAAGTTAATTATGCATTCTCTAGCACGAGATCAATTGCACCATTTACCTCACAACAGACTTTCTCAACATCTAAATGAAGAGTTTTAGTAATATATAGCACCCTATGACTAGTAGGATCAAAGATATTTTTAACAATGACAGAATTTTTAATGTACTACTTTCACTGGAAAAGTTGAGATACATTAAGTCTTAATGTATCTCAATTTTTCCAGTGAAAGTAGTACATTAAAAATTCTGTCATTGTTAAAAATATCTTTGATATTTTAATGATTAAGAGATGTATCCTCCTTAAAATAGCCCATGCTGAAATGCATAACACAGTCAAACATCAGACCAGGAAATGTTTTATGACATTTTGTATTAAAATTTTAAATAAGTATTAATTATTCAAATAGATTTAAGATAATACAAATAAATAATAAAAAAAATTAATATAATATAAAGTAAAAATGTGTAGCGTATAGAATGTGGGGATGTCCGCCTTCCCCTGTCAACTAGACAGGAAACATGGCCAAATGAGTTAATTCTACTTTATTGTAAAGCTGCAATAACAGAATCTTGTAAATCTGAAAACTACCTTGTGGTTTGGTTACTTTGGTCACAGTTTGATCAGCAAAAAATTGGCTCTCTAAGCGACTACGGATAGAATAGCAGGTAGCAGATAATAAATGCTGGCTAGGAAGAATCACTAAGGAAACAATTGCCATCTCCATCCTTGATCATACGATATGGTCCTAATTTTTTTATCTATTTATTAAATTTCTACCCTGCCCATAAATTGCTACGGGTAGTTTACAAACAATAAATGTAATCTGTTGTCCCGGGGCATCGCTTAATTTCTAATCCTAATTTTTCAGCTTAGGAGCAAAATCTGATTTTAAGTAACACAAATACTAAAAATCAGTGGCGTATCTTTCTGCAGGTTTGAACAAAGAAATAAAAGCAAAATTGTAATATAAGCCAGAAGTGAGCCTAGCACCAGTAAACAAAGGACCTTTCCCAAAACAAAACATAAAAGCACTGCCCTGTGAACTAGAGTGAATAGAACATTGGTTCTTCTGCTTCTCCTCAGGAGGATTTCATCTCCAGTGTGGGTGAAACTCTGCTCTGGAGGGAAAGCATTTGTAGCTAAAACATTAGGAACTCTGCAATAAACAGTTACCTACAAGGACTGCTTGCTCTCTGGAGTCCTTATTAATTGAGAGGACCTAGTCACAGTACATCCCTTGAATCTGCAAAAGCATCCTGGGTGATGAAAACCCTCTCCTTGTTTCCCTTATGGGAATTTCAGATATGTAAATAGATTGCTCAGAAGGAACATCTTCCAAAGGCTTTTCACATGAGAAGCTCTGTGTCCAAATTCTGGTAGAGATTTGTTTCCTTAAGTCAGAAGTGTGAAAATCATGACCTCTTGGCAATTCTTCTGTGGTATCCAGATTGTTCCCCATCCCTCAAAGTGGGCATGGCCAAAATGGTTACCTTAAGACTTGTAGAATTTCAGCCAAATGGGTGACATGAGCAGTATTTTTACCCTTTCCTGAGGAAGTCCTCAACCCACTCATTTTTTATATACAGCCCTCAACACACCCCAGAAAGTCCTGAAGTTGCAGTAATTAAATGTGTACATTCCTGATTCAACATTGAAACAGAGACTTTGTGACTACAAAAGCAAACCCACTCAACGGGCATCTGAATAGGCATTCTGGAAACTCAATGTCAAATATCTCAAGGCTATCTTAACCATTAAGCATCAAACTATGCAATCCACATCATTATTTCAGAATTACCAAGAGGGGATGCCACACAATTTTTAAGGGTTTATTTAATCAACTGTATGGATAACTACAACCTGCACACATTTGTACATGAATAAAAATATCTCCAAAGAAAAACAACCATTGTTCTTTTATTGTGTCATAACAGATACTGCCTGAACAATTTTCCAGTACAATATAAATGGAAGAACATGTCACCCACACAGTTTTGCAAGTAAGACTGCACAAAAATATTTCTAAAATATTTTCTTGATTAATCTCTTCATAGTCAGCCAATTACAACTCTATCTGGACCAGAAGTTTGGTCTACTTATTAACAAACCAGAAGTATATTTTTAACTATTTGGTGCAGAAAACTTTGTGATGTTAGCTTGAGTTAGTATTTCAGAGATACACATCTATGAAACTTGGAACATCAGTTGGCAGCAGCTACTGCTGATTAACATCAAAAATACATCAATACAACTCAGATGCAAGACCAAGCCCGTTCCTGATCTGAAAAGTGTTAAGCAAGAACAGATTCAGGTTCCCTTTTTAAAAATTTATTATTCTAAGCAGTTAATAATAACTAAAGATGCTGAGAGTTGGGCAGCATATAAATGCAATGAACCATTATTAATTTGATTAAAGTGGCATTTCTTCTTCCAAACTTAGTCACATATCAACAGCCGAGCTTTTTTATATGTTAATAACTCTAGCTGGATTGAGAAGGAGGCTTAAGTACAGTATAATATAGGGCTGGAAGGGACTTCCGGTTTGAAGGGCTTCGGCGACAGACAGGAATCCGCAATCGTGCACAGTTTCTGCCTGGGCTTGCCGCTGGAGTGCCCCGAGACGGCTGGTTTCGGGGCTAAGCCACCCCATAGAGGTGGTGAAGAGGGGGGAGACCGCCAGCAGGGTCAAGGAGAGCCGCATCTCTCCTCCTCAGCTGGCCATTATTCCCTTTCCCAAAGGTAGTAGAAGCGGTGGTCAGAAATGGCCACCTCAAAGAAGAACTCAACTGGAAAAGAACGTGCAGGAGGAAGATAAGAAGTCAAAGTTTTGGCTGACCGGGCTAAGTTGAAAAAGCAACAGCTAAGGTACCCTGGAATTTAAATTTTACAAGAAATAACATCGCTCCCAAAGAAGAGTCGGAAGCAGCAAAAGAAAGTGAAAAGGGAAAGGTTTGGATTTTTTTTCCTTCTCTCTCCTTCCTTATATTGACAACTGAGAGACCTAAATAAGAAATTGGAAAAATCCGCTTTGGCATCAATAGGCAATTAAGCTGAAAATATAACTAAATGCCAAAGGGACAATAAAGTTTTCTGGACATTAAAAATGTTTTCTTCTATAAGCAGGAAGGGAGAGAAAAAGAATAAGGGCAGGATCTAGTAATAAGATATGGAATAGAATATAAAAATGAGCATGAACTTGAATTTGTGTCTATACGAAGAAATGTAACCCGGGATTATGCTGCTTTCACAGACAGCTAATTATAAGTTACAGTGTAAGAGAGGATAGATATTGCAAATTGCTTCAGGCAGTTTTCAAGCTTTGAACTCCTATAAGGAGCAATCCACATCACATCATACACATTTTTTTCAGACTAAGAGTTGAAAAGAACCTTGTAGGTCATCTAGTCCAACCACCTGCCCAAACAGGAGACCCTACACCGTTTCTGACAGATGGCAGTCCAATCTCTCTTGAAAGGGTCCAGTGATGAAGCTCCCACAACTTCTGAAGGGAAGCTGTTTCGTTGATTTCTCTCACTGTCAGAAAATCTCCTTGTTCAGTTTCTATCCATTATTCCTTGTCTGGCCTTTGGGTGCTTTGGAAAATAGCTTGACCCCCCTCCTTTCTCTGGCAGTCCCCAAATATTGGAAGACTGCTATCGTGTTTCCCCTGGTCCTTCTCTTCACTAGACTAGCCATGCCCAGTTCCTGCAACGGTTCATCGTATGTTTTAGCCTCCAGTCCCCTAATCATCTTGGTTGCTCTTCTCTGCACTCTTTCCAGAATCTCAACATCTTTTTTATAGTGTGGTGACCAAAACTGGATGCAGTACTCTAGGTGTGGTCTTACTAAGGCTTTATAGAATGGTATTAGTACCTCACTTGATCTTGATTGTATCCCACTGTTAGTGCAATTTAAGATTGCGTCGACTTTTTTGGCTGCACTGCACACTGCTGGCTCATATTTAGCTGGTTGTCCACTAAGACCCCAAGATCCTTCTCTCAGTTACTACTATTAAACCTTGTTTCACCCAGTCTATATGTGTACTTTTGGTTTTTCTTGCCTAAGTGTAAGACTTTACTTTTCTCTACAATGAATTCCATTTTGTTAGATAGGGCCCAGCGTTTAAGTCTTCGGGCTTCTTTTTTCCCATTTATCCAAACTGCCTACAAAATCTTCAAAGGTGCGGGTCTGAAGGTTTTAAATAAAGAAGGTTAGACTGCTAGGAGATAACCAGTCAAAAGCTACACAGTACAAGTAGTCCTCAACTTACAGCCGGTGGTTTAATTTATTTGTTTTGTCAATTGCTTACAATATAATAGGTATTAGAATAAACATGAGTATGAATATAGGAAATAGGTACGGATAAATGGAGACAATAGGACAGAGACGGTACGCATGATTGTGTGCTTATGTACGCCCATTACAGACCTCTTAGTAATGGGGTGAGGTCAATAGTAGATAGTTTTAGGGTAAAGGAGTAGGGGTTCGAGGATGTAACAACAGAGTCAGGTAATACATTCCATTCAGTGTTAAAACCACCTCAGAAAGGGTGTTTTATGGCCTGTAAAGCACTTCCTAATGTTGCAAAACATTGCATACAAACTCTGGTCATGTGATCGTGATCTGGTTGCTTGGCAACCAGTGTGTACTTACTACCAGTTGCAAAACAATCATGTGATTGCCATTTGCAATTTTCTCTTGCAGCTTCCCCATAATGTCAATGGGGAAACCGGCAGGGAAGATTGCAAGCTGCTGTCACCTGCCTCCAGAACTTCCTCTCATCTCTAAGCGCTGACTGAATGAGCTGCCTGCTGAGGGGACTGAACTCCTTCAGTGGGTGCAGAAACAGAGTTCAGATCCAGATGATTTGAACTCTGCTTGAATTCCCTTCTGTATTCAGAGGAAAGATGACATTCTTTGGCAGGAAGATCTTTCTGCAAGTCCCTAAAGACGAAAAGAAGCTGAAATACAAGAGAGGCAGCATGATAAGGTAAGCAGTGCAAGATCCCTGAGAGGCCCAGCGTAGGCCACATGCAAGTGTGTTTTATACAGGAAGACTGGTGGACTGCTTGGATTTCAGCAGGGAAGATTTTCATTTCCTGAGTAGAGCCTCCCAGGATCTACCCCTATCTTGAGGAATCACACACTCCTTACACAGGACTCTGTCCACTTGATGACCTGTGCGATCACTTAACAACACAACCAGGAGTATCAGGATTCTGATCTCACTTAACAACCACTTTACTTAGCAAGATTATGGGCTCAATCATGGTTGCAGGTTGAGGACTACATGTAGTTCAGTGGAAAAACAGCTTTCCTATCACTTGGTGGAGATGTCATGGGTTAATCTGCAAATTTCTGTGAGCAAATTCTAATTTACTGAAATTGCATCTTTGGCTTAATTATAATGATATATTCAATTAAATATGAATCCTTTTATATAATCGTTTCTTCCACTTCAGGAATAATTATAAAAATGATAATTTCTCATTCATTTCTTTTCTAGCAGTAGAAACAAAATAACAAAATAAGCAGCCATAAATGTCAATGGCCCCATGTTTCGATTTTGATGGCTATTTATTGTGAACGCTTTTGCAATATAATAGCTGGGAAGACTTGCCACAGATAATTTTTCAAAGCATCTATTTCAAGTAACATTTCTTGATTGTGTATTCTTCCTAGCACCCTTGTACTATACCACTGCATTTTCGATTCAAATGCAAAAAAAAAATATTTTGGAGAGCACAGAGAAAGGAATGCTGCATCTGTTTGCAATTCTTCAAGGAGGCTGCATTTTCCCCTAGAATTATGCAATTGCCCATAGAAAAGGCCGTATTTGGTTTAAAGAATTGCAGACAAGTGCATCCCTCCACATTCTAACAATGCACAGCCCTACACTTATAATTGTTCTACCTTTTCAGGACAGGTGGATGCATTTCTAAACAAAACATTGGGTACTTTTTTCATGTTGCAGGGAATTTCAGAAATAGCTCAGTGAGTTAACAATTGACTGCTGATTTTGGGCCAGTCACTTTCTCTCAGCCCAGCCTACCTCACAGGACTAGGGAAAATAGTCGAAGGAGGGATATTTGGAATGTTTGCTGCTTTAAATTACTTACAAAAATAATGGGATATAAAGAAATAAATGATTATTCTGGAAGAGGATGTTTTGCTTTGTGGCAAGTCAACTTCCCATTTTTAAAAAAGTTTAAATATATTTTGAAGAAAATAACAATTCACGTGGAGTGGATAAATTGCCAAGCAGCTACAGAGGTATGTAATGGCATATATTGGCCCTCTGGGTGGTACAAATGGGGACCCCAGGCCTCATATAACTGATACAGTATATAGAGTCGCAGTAGTCATTAAATCACAATTCTCTGTCTTTTTTAAAAAAAATACTGCAAATCCACCCTTCTTAGAAAACTCTTTCTGCAAATTCAGGGAACCTATCAAAATAGTCAACAAGTAAAGTTTGTAAGAAAAGTTATCACATGAGCCTGTTTTAAATAAATGGAAAATACAGTACAAAGTAACTGTGTGGAAACAGGGTTCAATATTATTTTCATAAAGCACTGCCACCAAAAACAGTTGTTTTCAATTCTAAGGTACTTCTAACCTATTGCCATTAAATATCTTTTGCTCTCAGTCACCAAAAGCAAATACTTCAAAAGTTTCCAAGAGCTGAAATCCAACACTTAAAATATATGGGGCCATTAGGAATTGGCATATAAGCCACGCCAACACCATAAATGTGCAGGGCTTTCTCCTCAAAAGTCCCTCATATTATTATCTTTTTTAAAAAAATCTCCCCTTGCAGCAGGTAAAAAGGCAGGCAGAAGGGTCAACTCAGGCACCCGTTTTCCAAGGCTGTGGCAGAAGCCAAAACACCAAAAAAAAAAAACCAAACTCAGCACGATGGAGACTCTCAGTGCCTCTGAGCATATCTAAAATGTCATGCACTTTGGTGCTTTTCTCCCACCCTGAAAGAAGGACGTTTCAAGAGAAAACACACGATCTGCTTTGAGGCGAGCCAGGAGGTGGGGGCGATGTCGCCCCCTCACCTGGCGCCTCAAAGCAATGGCACCCCGCTTCCTTGGACTCACCCACTGTCCGCGAGAGCTTCACTTCCCGATTCAGCCAATCGCACAGAATGCCAGTCATGGCCGCGAACGGCCGCAGTTCCGCGCCCTTTCCCCGCTTGGCTCGAGACCGGCTCCAGCCACGCTCCGCGTCCCGTCACCACGGCAACCGGCCCTTTCGCGCCAGCATGGCTTAAAAGAGACGCGGCCCGACAAGCAGCGCCGGGGAGAATAAACTGAGCCTGCGCAGACTTAGCCAAATGGGCTCTGGGCTGAGCCCGTTTGAGGTAACGAAGGTCCTGCCGAGGAATCGGGGAAACGCGGTTTGTGGGTGAGAGCATGCGCAGTTTAGAAACTTTAATTGTGGCACCTCCATCTCACCCTCGGGGTTGTTTCCAATCGTTTGGCGGGCGGTGGCGGCCGGTTTTAAATTCCGGAGCACGAAATATCTTTTAACTTGCCAATAATCCTGCAGTGGCTACGTCCCCTTTCTTCCCTCGCCTCCTTTGCTT